CGAAACTGGACTTCCATTTCTTCATTTGAACTTACTCCACCCTGATAAATATCACAACTCATTGTTATTTATTACTGCATTCTCACATCTGGAGCTTCTGACCACATTTCACTCCAGCGACTAAAGCTAGTATGAATTTAGTCTAATAATTTATCCTAGCTCTGTCTGTTTCACTACGAAAATGTCGGGTGAATTTATCCGCAACGCAACCATGAAAACTTAATGTATCGCCTAGAGTCATCTGTGCGTTCAAGTAACCACAGATTTTTTCATTTCATAATGTATTTTTAATTAAATAACCAGATTATGTTGTATTGTTTAGAGTTCATATCCAAGTGCCTTACTGCTCATCTGTTCCTCTTTTTTCCAGAATCTTGCTATAAAAGCACAGCTATGGAACTTCTGACGTCTGCAAGCTCGCCCTGCCTCAGAAAGAAGACACTGGACTTCCACAAAAGTTAACTTCGATAACCCTGAGCCATGTTGCTAGATGCAGACTACTTGGTTCGGTTCCACGTGACTATCATAACCAATGGTTGGAGACTGAGTGACATGACTTAGAATCCATCACAATTGCGTAGGTGTACACACTCTCTGTCTTCTCTTCTACAAACTAATTCTTTCTTCCTGCACTACATCCTTATATGCATTCTTTCCTTTTATATATTGCCACCATTGAATTATCTACTTCTATGAATTCGATGTTCATGTTTTTGTGCTAATGATATATAGCAACCTGGATCGATGCATATATGTGTCTGGTCCTACGTTGTAGCTGACTGACTAAGTGTCAAATGGACACACATACTCTATGTTAAGAAGCAGTACCCATCAAAGACGTTACTGCTGAGGCAGTGGCCCGTGTCTTCGTCAAACCATGTGTTGCAAACTTTGGATGCCAGTTCAAACCTGAACTTTTCTGTTGTCTAACCACACGATTACGAATCACGCGATTCAGAATAATCGCCAACGACCCACAAGCAAACGGGTTAGTAGAATATGACTCTAATCTCTTACGCGAGCAGGCTTACAAGCGCCATGCGTTCAGTTAAACCTGTTTCTAGCCGGCCGCAATCAACTAATGTTTTCTTTCAACCTGCCATACGATAAACTACATTCGTCTTTGTACGTCACAACTCACTGCGACCACCCCTCGAAACTCCATACAAAAGATCCTCTAAAGTTCTCCAGCGCAAATGCAAGTACTAAATAATCGATAGGAGTGAAACTAACGATATCATCAGCATCAGCCGCCTCAAAACCGCGTATTTAGAGAGAAACTTTGATCATGTTGATTTTTCTTCGACACAATCGAAAGACAAGAACGCCACCATTACGATACATCACCTGATAATCAACAACATTAATTCTGTGGTATGTGGCAACCGACTCCAAACGACGCATCCTGGAGGAAGAATAAAGTTTCCAGAACACTCGAGCATTACCTGTTTTCTATTAGTATGTGGCACTATATGACTCCTTATAGTAAGAAAAATACAACTAGACGCTGCTGAACATAGCAAGCCATCAGATGAGTACTTGTCAACGACAAATTTGTTGTGTTTAATATTCATCACTACCCCATCAAAGAAGGGAGTGGTCTTTAGCGATAAATAAATCCTCAGAATCATTAGCTCTGTACGTTTTCGATATTGGATGCTGACCTCATTAGTTTTAATGTACTCACCTAGCTGAAGACGCATGGGATTACTAGTGAGTATGCCGTGCTCAACTTCTCTTGCAACCACTAACCAGCTTAGATTAGTTACTTCTCGACTTATATATAGATTACCAAATCTTCGAGCCTCTTTGCTTCTGATTTCTGATTTTACTGGGTCGGTATATTTTGATTATAAAAAATAGTACTGGTTAAGGCATTGGCAAACTTCGAATGCTTATGGAATCTTCACTCTCAAGCACACCGTAGTTTTCAAGAAGGTCCCATAAAATTCTTCAACCCACACTGTCAAATCCTTTTCTATGTTCAAGATAATAGATGTCCAGTGATATGTCCCATTCAATTAGTTGTTCAACAATAGCCCTCCATGTCATGACTACATTCGTTTTATAATTAAAACCTATCCTTTCATTCACATGATTTCATACTCATGTTATTGTTGTTTTGGATATTTTAGGCTGTAGGGAGAGCTACTTTTTACAAGTAATCAAGTCTTAAAGTGCTCTGTTGACTGATTTGGTCCAGACATCTTTTTAGAGTCAATCCAGAGGAAACGTGCAATACTTTTAAGAACTAGGAATTGTATCTTATCCAAATTTACTTCTAATTCAGAGTAGTAATCACATTGACTTTGTGGTGGACCAGACAATTTAATAACCGAAAAGATAATAAGAGTTATTAATAACAAATAATAATATTTATATATAAGTCAAATGTTATAAACACAATAGAAATAAGGAACGTTACTTAGTTCACCAGGAGAGTGTGTGTTCCAACTTGATCTGGTATTAAATATCCACAATTATAGATGGTTAGTAATTCCAGTAAGTTTGATGGATTCCCCAAGTATATGATCCAGCGGTATATACGGTATATTCCAATTACAGTCTGTAAAGGTAAATGGTATTTAATTCGGACTTCGGTTAACACAAATGCGAGTGGATGTAGAACGAGAGTTATGTGCGAAGTAGTGTATTTGGAAACAACTACATTAGTGTCACATTATGTTAGAATCACAACGGAAAAAGTGTTCAAGGTCATACACTTAGACAACAGGTACAATCATTTAATGATAAATACACATGCAGTGGGAAATCAGCAGAATAAATACAAATAACATTAAAGACTATTTACAAAATAAACTTGGCAGGCATATCTCCACATTGCTCCCCCCAGAGTGTCCGGAAATAACACTGGTTATTTTATCAAAAAATATAAGAATATGATATATACATGTATGCATGCGTCGTCTACTTGTAGTTTAGCCAAGATTTCAAGGCTGATGTCGGGATTGCGTACCATCATATTGATGTCCCTCCTAGATAGTGCATCTGCGACAATGTTCATGTGACCTTTGATAAAGCGGATGTCTGTAGTAAATTGAGAGATATAATCAAGTCGTCTTGCTTCACGTGGAGAATGTTTGTCATACGATGTGCTGAAAGAATGGCAAAGGGGTTTGTGATCTGTCATAATGATGAAATCGCGAGATTGTAGCAAGAAGTTGAAATGTTTGACGGCTACATACATAGCTAAGAGTTCACGTCCAAAAGTGCTATAACGTTCTTGTGCTGACGATAATCTCTTCGAGAAAAAGGCAATGGGGGTAATCGTGTTGTTTACCCGTTATTGCAGTACTGCCCGACGGCTTTCTGTGAAGCATCCATGCACAGGATTAAGAGTGTTGTGGGGTCAGTATTTAAGTGTTGTAGCATGGTGGTATTAGCAATCATAGATTTAGCTTTTTCGAATGCTACTTTGGCATCGGGGAGTAATTTGAATATTTGATCCATTTCTTTCTTGGTGCTCGATTTATCGCTTTTCAGTAAATCAGTTAACGGCTGTCGTACTTCAGCGCAATTCGGTAGGAATCGTCGATAAAAGTTACATGTCCCAAGAAAACGTCGTAGTGATTTTACGGAGGTTGGTTCTGGGTAGCTAATGATGCCTTCGACTTTCTCCGGGAGTGGTTTAACGCCTTGAGAGTTGATGTAGTGTCCTAAAAACTCTAAGGCCGGAACACCAAATATACATTTAGCAGGATTAATAATGATACCATGTTTTCTGAAACGTTCGAAGAGAATCTGTAAGTGTTGGATATGCTCTTAGAGTGATGAACTAGCGATTAAAACATCGTCAATATAGGCAAATACAAAGTCTAATCCTCGTGTGACTTCGTCCATAAACCTCTGGAACGTTTTGGCGGCGTTTTTTAGCCCGAATGGCATTCTCAAAAATTCAAACAGACCAAAAGGAGTGATTATAGCTGTTTTTTCAATGTCTTCGGGCGCCATTGGAATTTGGTGATAAGCTTTTACTAAGTCGAGTTTCGAAAAAATTTGTTTTCCATGTAGGTTTAAAGAGAAGTCATGTAGATGTGGGATGGGGTACCTGTCTAGGATAGTTTGATTGTTTAAGCGTCGGTAATCTCCACGTGGTCGCCAGTCTTGGTCCTTTTTTGGAACCGTGTGCAGAGGCGAAGCCCAAGGACTGTTCGATTGTCTGATTATCCCGAGTTGCATCATATGTTCGAATTCTCTTTTCGTGAACTACAGCTTGTGTGGGGGTAGTCGTCTTGCCCTGGAGCGAGTGGGTGGACCTGTAGTACTAATGTGGTTTTGCACTTGATGTGGGCTGCATTCCTTTTGATAGTCCGCTTTCGTTTTGCACTCGTATTTAGTCAGGATGTCGTTGAAGATCTTGTTCGCAGGTCTCATTATTCGTACACCATGGATTTCATAGTCAGTGGTAAGTGTACCATTCACCTGCAAACGTGTATTTTCATCTAGCAGCCTCTTGTTGTTCATGTCTACTAATAAATTGTAGGTGCTAAGAAAATCGGCTCCGAGGATGGGTTGTGTTGACGTGAGCGACGATAAAAACCCATGTGAATCGTCTCCGGAGTCCGAGGTCTAATATGAGAGATTTCTCTCCATAAGTTTTGATGACCGTATCGTTAGCCGCGATGAGTGAAACTTGGTACTTGTCGTGTGTTTCCGCCGCGAGAGGTGCAGTTGTCTACTTTAACATTATCATATTTTTGTTACGACTTACCTTTAACATGTCTAGTTGACCTTTTAATTTTCACATAAAAATGTCTTAAGAAGTACATATGTGATCAGATTGTTCAAAATGTATTGCGTAAATATACCACATAATTCTGAAAAACGTCGTATTCTCATTTCATTACTGATGATGCTTTTACTTTTGCTTGTTTTATACACTTAGTTGTCTACCTAGAGGCATCTATGATCAATTATTGTTAGACACAGAAGTTCGTTAAGCGGAATTTCTGGTATTCTGTACACGACAATTCAAACCATTTAGGCCGCGTTACTCAATGCTGGCGTTACACTTGGTATGTAGCACGCTTTTAAGTAAACCTTGTTATACGGTTTCCAGATAGTGTATATTTGGCGAACCAAATAATTTTCTGTTACAGAATGTCTTTGACTTTCTCCAGTTCTGCATCACCACATTTTAAATCAATGTCGCTAGTATTAGGAAATTACAACGATATAGACACTGGCTTCTATTTTAAGTCATATTTATGAATATTCAGTTACTTTGAGATACACTGTTACTGGGGCTCCCACCTGCAAGTTTTGGTGAACTGGAAGACCTCAGTCCTATACGACTACCAATTAACAGTTTCATGTCTCAAACTAACCTCCTCCGCTCTTTTCTCATCCAGTCCTAGAGTAGGTAAGTAATGTACAAAGTGGAAGCCATAGAGGTGACATTTGTAAAATATACACAGACCACCAAAACAGGTGTTTTAAGATGGTAGGGTTAGTGGAATTACCACCGACGCACTCAATTACACATTGTCCATGGACGATAAATCGATCTATACACCTGTGACCTCGAAGAATAGCTAACTCTCCACGAACTCTCCTTTCACAGGTTTAGAACAATCTACGGTGTCTGACTGCAGCCGCTTCCTTGACGTGATTGTCGGGCTTACACATCTTGGTTATCTAGTTGAACTACATAGGCCGGAACGCTCCTTCCTTTAGGTTTTACCGTGCCAAGCACGTTGGTTGCAGGATTTTAAGCCTTAAAGTAGTCAATTCATGATTTGAGTGCGAGTTCTTTGTGACGAACTTTCAGGAGTGTCATTCAGCTACATCTTAGAACCAGGCGCATATGCATCGGTTCAAGTTGCCACACCTCATTAGCGCAACAAGATGAACACCAAAAATATAGCAATTACTCCAATGGTAGTAATATATAGAGATTGCGTATAAGAATATGATACGGGGAAAAGGAGTTAGTTCATAGAAAGAAAGATATAAGGTAATTTTAATCTCACGGTTTAAGGGAAGACAGAGTGTATATACCTGTGCCATTGTGATCACTTCTGAGCCAGGAGTGTCAAAGCAGTACAGTATCTCCCTCAAACAACTAGCAGTGTCAGAGGTGCTGCCTTCTCATCATACGATTTTCTGTCGCCCACGAATTTCTACCTCGAAGTAAGGCCTTAAAAGTACTGAGCTGACACATCAAGACAGCTCTCACCAAGATCGTGTATGATGTCTCAAACATTTATTTTTTGGACGCTGTGGTTGCACCCACAGGTCTTCAGTAGCACTCTTAGCGCATATTCGTTTTTAGGAACCTTAAGAAGAAGCATCTTTCTACAATATAGGCAACCGGAGGGGAGGGGGTAGCGGTCGCTCTCATACCTCTAAGAACTCACGAAATCACCTCATTTGAAATCAACTCTCCCCTTCACTAATGAATATTCTATTCCCACTACCAACTATCATCTGTTGTCAACTTTAACATGTGACCCAAATGCTAACGACTTAAACCACACTTTAAGCTACTTATTGGAATTTTCGAACTTATGTCAAATAAGACAACAGTAGTCACTAGCTTAGGTCACAAAATCTCTCGACATATGTTTGCCGTATCCGAAACAAACGCACGGTAACCCAAAGTGGTCATTCAATTGATTCCATCTACCCAACAGGATATTCCTCCCGTATATCTAAGGGTTGGATAGCAGCTTCTCGTGGTAGGGGTAAGTATAGCACTAAATTTGAGAGAACACTCACAGACTTAATTCTAGGAGATAGTCACCCATGCACTAAACAGTACAGTAAGTACTCAAAAAGATAGACACATGCTATTGCCTATCTTTTCTCCCGTATAGCAGCTCTGATGAGCTAAAAGATTAATTGCACAGAAATCTTTCGAATCTCTAGTAGGCCAAATATCCAGACTTAATAATAATAAGTGATTTTAACGCCCATCAGTAGTCTGAAAAACAAGTGGTTCTTTTAGCGTTTCAGAACAACAAACAAATAACACTAACCGTCTTCTGCAATCACGCTCAGATAATTACTTCATCCTAGAAGATATTAGCTGTAGATCTAAAGAGGAATATTGTCTAACTTGGTGACTTCAAACATCAACATAACAACAGATACAAATAGACCATATCGCCACCGACTATTTTCAAGTCTTAGCAAAAGACTGTTAAACCCCCTGTAGTGCATTGTTGAACACCGATCATACTCAAGTGAAATCACGCATTTCCATACGCTCTAACAGACACGGAAAACCCATATCAGAGACCCTTTAAAAATCAATTGGGAAATAAAATAGTCAAAAATATATTGAGGAAGAATTAGCACGGTACTTAGTCAGTGATGAAGCAAAAGTTCGTTCTGAATAAGCTAAGTGTAATATCCGTTTGGCTGTAAACAAAACAGGGATTTCTGCTATCGATGTAAACTAAAATGTTAGGAAAGACTAGCGGATTGTTATATCATCAAAAACATCCCAATGAGTTCAATAAATGACAAAAAGCGATGAAAACGCAAACGTAGACTAACATTCAATGAATGTTGTCTCAGCAAATACCATATTATACATTATTTGAGGATGGTGAGACTAGCTAGAAAAATTGGAGAGGTGATTGGTTAGATGCAGGGTATCAGGGAATGATGGTAAATTAGTTGATAAGGTTGTGAATCTTGGTCGATTGAAATGGTTTGGCCACGTGGTACGTATGCCTGAACACCGATTATCACGACTCGCAATGCTGACTAGTGTTGGGAATGGCTGGAGGAAAGTTAGGGTCGGTCAAGCCAAAACACGGCATTAGTGCTTGAAGTCACTAACTTCTAGTCTGAGCCATGTTGCTAGATGCAGACTACTTGGTTCGGTTCCACGTGACTATCATAACCAATGGTTGGAGACTGAGTGACATGACTTAGAATCCATCACAATTGCGTAGGTGTACACACTCTCTGTCTTCTCTTCTACAAACTAATTCTTTCTTCCTGCACTACATCCTTATATGCATTCTTTCCTTTTATATATTGCCACCATTGAATTATTTACTTCTATGAATTCGATGTTCATGTTTTTGTGCTAATGATATATAGCAACCTGGATCGATGCATATATGTGCCTGGTCCTACGTTGTAGCTGACTGACTGATTAGTTTTTAGCATGGTACTGGGATGTGAAATAAAATTGTTTGTACAGGACTAGCATTTGTCGGTCCTTCACGACTCCATGTTAGAGGTCCTAGAAATAGTGTAACACAGTAGTTTGAGAAGTTAGATGTGACCCGTAATAGAATCCAGTGGCGTTCCTGCTCTAATTTTCTTTTGCTTTCTCCATGAAAGTAAAAAACTTTTTAACTAACAGGATTCTTTCTGGTTGTATATTTTTCTTCACTGAATAGTCTCTAGTTATATACTACTTTGATTACTACTCACTTGTTTTTTACCTTGATTGTACTCTTCCCTTTCACAATCTCATTTTCTTATTTTGTGGCATATATTTGTTTTCATACATCTTTGTATCAATATTTGTGTTTTTAAATAAATAGACTGGCAAAGAGTTTATACAGTAATGAAAACAAAAGATATGGAAAAGGCTGGAGCGATATGTTTTATTTTTTATTTGAACACAACTATTGGTACAAGAGGGCACCAGATATATATGTGCCACACAAAACAATGAGGATGGAAAGATAAAAAGAGGGTAAGGTGCGTATACGAAAAAAAGAACAGTAACGACCACTGATCAGTGTATGGTAGTGTAATAATAATAATAATAATAATAATAATAATAATAATAATAATAATGAGGGAAACGAAAAGGTACAACCAGAAAGAATTTTCTCAGTTAAGAAAGTTGCGAACACTTTTTATGAAGAAAGTAAAAGAAGGTTACAGCAGGATCGCCACTGGCTTCTATTCTGAGCCATATCTGATAACGTCTCTAGCCACTGTGTTGCACCATCTCTCGGACCCCAGCAAGGGAGTCGTGAATGACCAACACAAGTCAGTCCTTCATACCACGACACCATGTCATACACTGACCACATCTCCACTCTTTCCAACCAGTCTCAGAGTCGGCAAATAGTGCACGACGTGGAATTCTCTGGGACGACATTCGCAGAACATGTCCAAGCCACCGAAGTCGATATTTCAAAATGGTGCAGATTGCATGACTTGGGTATTATCGCACAGTAAGACAATATCATTCGCATACTCAAGGTCGAGAAGTATTTCACCAGGCCAAAGATCCATACCGCCACTACTTACATCCATCAGAGCTGTTTCCAGAATGTCATCAATGGCAAAGTTGAAGAGGAATGGTGAGATTGGGCAAACCTGCCTAACCCCACTGCTTGAATGGAACAATGGAGAAAGGTGGTTGTATGCCCTCACTCTGCCTGAGGTGTTTGTATATAGAGCTTTTAGGATGTTAACAAACTTCTCAGGCACACCCTTCTTCAATAGACAATTCCAGAAAGCAGTCCTGTCCAACGAATCGAAGGCAGCCCTGATATCAAGAAACACTACGATTGTTGGCCTGTGATAAGTATGACAGAGTTCTAACATTTGGCGGAGGGTGAAGATATGATCAATACATCCTCGACCGGAACGAAACCCAGCCTGCTCCTCGCGAGTCAATCCTTCTCGGGTTTTGAACAACCTACGAAGTATAACGGAAGCCAATAGCTTGGACGCAATCGGAAGTAGACTTATCCCCCGATAGTTGTTACAGGAACAACGTGAACCCTTTTTAAAGATAGGGACAACTTTCGACTCATTCCATGACGTTGGTACACTCTCTAGTTCCCAGACCTTTGTAAACAACGTCGTCAGTCCCTTAGTCAGAAAGTCACCACAATCTTTAAAAAGAGCCGGAGGTAAGTCATCTGGGTCCGGTGATTTGTAAAGTTTCAAGAGTTGAAGTTCCTTGCGGACTTCCGCCTCATTTGGTGGATCAGTCGTCACAGGCCATAGAGCGCAGGACAGTCTGACCGATGTTGCCGGAGCAGCAGGCCAGTTGAACTGCCCTTCGAAGAATTCTGCCCATCGTCCAAGACGTCGATGGATGTTAATGATTGGCGTTCCGTCAGCCTCGCAGATTGTTTCGCTCACACCAGACTTCTTGCTGCCAGTGGCTCAGATGAGCTGGAAGAGCTTCCGGTAGTTATCAGATGCAGCTGCTGCTTCCAGCTCATTAGCACGCTCCGACTACCAGGCTTCACGGTCCTTACACAAGCATTGCCCGATTTCATTACGTAACATCCTTCACCTGTGGTCAAACTCACGGTCACCGGGAGTAGACCGACGGGCTTCAATGGGTTGTAAGGAACCAGAAGAAACCCAGTGCTTGTAAGCGGGACGTTTCGCGAACCCACAACAGACTGTACCCGCCATTTTCATGGCGTCATGCAATTGCAACCAATGCTCATCTATACTTTTCGGTGGAATGGTAGCTAGCCTAGAACCTAGCTCGGTTTGATACTTAGTTGTAACAGAAGCTGCAATCAGATTACTGACATCAATCCGTTTAGAACGATGAATTCGTTGGCCACTGAAATGTAAAGTAAGATTGGCACAAGCAAGGGCATGATCATAGTCCAGATAGGTACTCCAAAAGGAGCGACACACTTGCACACAACCACGCCAGCGGTAGCTGATCGCGATGTGATCAATCTGAGTCCAGGCTTGAGATGCAGAAGCAGGACGCCAGGTAGCAAGTCGGCGATGACCATGCCGGAAGTTGGTGCTAGCCACAAACAGGTTGTGGTCTGCGCACAGTTGCAGTAGACAGTCCCCGTTATCTGTCCTGTGACCAACAAGTCCCCATCGGTCACCTAAACAACTCTCTTCTGTGCCCCCAAATGCCCTGGTACGGTCGAGAGTGGGGAGAGTCCGTTCTCCCTCTCGAAATGCTCTCACATGGCCATGTGTATATAGCCTCTGCCAGGGAAGTCCTACTCACTGCCTTCTCGTGGCGGGGGTGTTGTTTACAAAAATGAGAGGACGAAAAGCGAATGTCCGGCGCTATAACCGGATCCCAAATCAACAGTGCACATGGGCTCCAGTATCCTGAGGAACAAATGGCGTATGAACCAATCGTTGGTCACCGGCTACCATGGGACTGCATCTCTTTACGATGCTCCACTGCCTTGTGAGTCAGACGTTCAGGTCAAAGGCTCCGGGTGTGGTCCCGCAAGAAAACCACCTGGTTCGGTTTGGGCACCCGAGCAGTATCACAGCCCTCACACATATTCAATGAGATTTTTGTGGCGCATATGTATCTGGTACCTCCTTGTACTAATATCTGTTTTAACATAAATAAATAATAAATACTCTTCTGTGCCTAGACGCCCGACCTGAGCATTCAAGTCTCCGGCTAGTACTACAATACCTCTTGAACGCACTTTCTGGAGAAGAACAGTTAACTGGTGGTAGAATTCATCCTTGATTGCATCCGGGCTGCAACATATCGAAGCATAGGCGGAGATGACGAAAATACATCGTTTCTCACACCGATCTCTTACTTTGATGGAACTTTCTAATCAGACAGCACGTAACTGACTGCTATTGAGGATCTGATCGATTAGTGCTGCCTCAGCTCTAGCTCTCAGTGCGACATCAGCGCCAGCAAGACCAGACGAAGATGCCACAGGGTCCTCGGATAAACGCACGTTAAATAAGCCATTTGAAGCGACAGATGAAGAGTGAATTTGTAGTACTTCACTAGTCTTGAATACGAGTTTCGGATAGACAACAGACGTCGATATTAAGACTTTCTAAAGACATAGCCAACCCTATCTGTTGTCCGATCTGCATAAGTGTGCAATCATTGAAGGTAGCCAGTTTAAATTGTGCACGTGGTTTCGGATAATCTGTTTCAGTATTCAATTTTCGACCAGTCAGTGACTCGAGATCGTTTAGATTGAGCAGAGTTTCCACCATGGGCGAGCTGCTGTATAAGTTGAAAAATAATCATAATCAAGGTGGGAATCAAAGAGTCAATAAGTGATGTGGTAAAAAATGATGATAATGTGAATTGCTTGGCTTTTAATCGAAGCGTGTTTAGTATTTCCAGTAAATATAGTCATTTCATTTTATTTGTGTTTGGGCTGTGATACTGCCCAGGTGCCCAGACCGAAGTAGGTGGTTTTCTTAGGGGGCCACACCCCTAGCCTTTGACCTAAAGGTCTGAGTCAAAGGGTAGTGGAGCATCGTGAGGAGATACGGTCCAATGGTAGTCGGTGACCAACAGTTGGCTCATACGCCATTTGTTACTTCAGGATACTGGAGCGATAGGTAACACCAGACAACTATCCTGACCCATCGAGAAAACTGGTATCAGCAATTGTTATTGGCTGTTTCGGTTAAAAACAAAAACGTCTTTCGATCTCAGTCCAAGATGTACAAACTATTTTATGGGATAGTCTAATTGTTCTCTAGTTGCTCCTAAGTTACCTACTATTTCTAAACGACTTGAATGTGAAATTAACGTAATTCCCGCAGCTCTCAACCAGTTTATAAACGGAGAATAGCTATACCTGCTTTGTGAACTGTGTGTTACTCACGTCTTTGTTTCGTTGGTGTTTAAATAGCTTACAAGGCATTAGTTACAAGAATAAACATGATTAAAAGACATCTTGTATGTAATCATGTAATTTTACTACAGAGAAAACTTATTATTCTGCCTAATGGTCTTATGTCTGATATCAATTCACTTGAAAGTTTGCTTCTCAGCAGCCACCTAAAATTAAAAAAAAATATGCTAATTTTTTTTAAGGCATTTATGCATACTCTGATGAACTAAATCAAACTACATTTCGAAGTTATAAAGTAACTACTTCTGAATTCTTTAGTTTAGTCAAGTGAGTGCATTGATGATTTTGATAAAATACGGTTTTCATCAGACTTACTCTTCATGCACTGTGGTGAAATATGTAAGCTATATTTAAGTGCAACATTGTACAATCAATTCAACGGTTAATTTTTTACGGTTTTCATAGAGTTTACTGGAACATGTACATAGAAATCAGGTTATGAGTTAAGTTTGGATTTATTTCCCTTATTGACATGATTCTACAAATCTTCTATGATGATTTTTTTGTAGGCTAGCGGTGGCTCTACATGCTCATCTCACTGAACACAATTTATCTCAACTATCGTTCTTCGAGAATCGTCATTCATAAGTTGCCTGGTCTTTTGTTGTAATCATCATTTAAATTATGAATCAAAAACATTATCTTGTCCCATCATTTCTGGCCTCAAAGGGATTGGTTAAACTTCACATCGACTCCTTCAATCATTTTATTCAAACAGAAATAAAAAATATTGTCCGAGCAAACAGTCGTGTCAGTGTTCCAGAAGCCAATTGGTGGTTAGAGTATAATGACATATATATCAAACCTCCAACAGTAAATGATGGGGGGGTTGTCGCCAGCCGTGTGACTCCTCATGACTGCAGACTCCGTGACCTGACATATGCTGGCGAAATTCTTGTTGACGTTACGTTTGTTAGACAGAACGAAGTAGTATCGAAAAAAGGTGTCCTTATTGGTCGCATGCCAATCATGCTAAAAAGTTCCATATGTGTACTAAATGGTAAGCCTCCGTGGTAGGTTACGAACATTTATGTGAATTTTTTCAATCCTCCTAGGTTTTCTTTAATGTTCCGTTCGTGTTAGCCTCCCATACTCGTTGTGCTAATGAGGTATGGCAACTTGGACCGATGCATATATGTGCTTGGTCCTACGTTGCAGCTGACTGACCGACGTGCCATGTTTTATGATGTAGGAGTAGGTTGGAAGAAAGCTAGGGGTGACCAGAACAAAACGTTGCACAAATCCATGAAGTCACTTGTAGAATTTAATCTGTCCTACAGATATACTACTAGAACCGTAAACGCTATACTGGCGAGTCTATGTGAAAGCTATAGTCAGAACAAGGACACCTTGGCTCTAAACTTTATCTGTTTCAACCGGTATTACGTATCTTATCGAAATGAGTAAAATTATGAGTCACATTAATATAATAGGATAATACTGTCTTTCAATTGGTAGGTCACATGCAACAGGGATAGTTTACAGACGGATCATACAAGATCAACGTGGTGGTCGCTTAAACAACGATTTGATTGATTAATTATGGACATAACTAACATCACTGACAAGTGGACTGAGCCACGTTGGTAGGTGTAGGCTACCTGGTTGGGATCCGCGAGACGATAGCAACGATAGAGACCTTGAATGACATGGTTCAAAATCGTTTGCAATGGCGCAGGTGCATCCACTCTTTGCGTCCTCCCAAATTCTAATCTGAATTCTCCTTGTCTATTTTTTTCTCTTTCCAAATTTATTCCACTGGATTATACTCCTTGACTAACATCTTCAAACCCTAATGTCTTCGATTATTGTCTATACTTTTACTACCTCTACCACTATGGGATTTGAATCCACAATTGTATCTGTGTGCTAATGTGGTATGTCAACTCGAACTGATGTACGTACGTACGAAGTTCTACGTTGTTACTGACTGATTTATGAAGTTTGCAAGTCGTATGAACGATAATGCCTTTTTTGGTCTCAGACGACCTTTAGCTGGACTTTTTACAATTCAGAGTACCAAAATATTTGAGCACATCAATGAAGTATTTTCTTTGTTGTTGGTTTCTTTAATAATCCTGTCATAATTAATTGATTGTGTAGCTTGTAACCGATTATCTTAAATACTATTATTTTACCCAATATTGTTGTTCATGGGGTGGAAATTCCCTATTGACTAATGAAAAGTAAGCACATTGTCCACATTCGGTTGAGATTTATGTTGTTACCAATGTGTCTAGACCTTCATTGATTTTAAAATACAATTCATTTGTTTACTTCATAAATCACTATCATGTCACTAAACAATATAGATGTGGGCCACAACGCTTACCTGTTTATCAAGTTCTATTGTCATCTTTTAAAACTGTTCTGTTGCTAATTCTTGATAAAGATGTCAAAATGATATAACAAAGATTAAATAGATTTAATCCATTCATTTATTGCAGCTATATTAGACAGTTATAAAAGCACGTTATTTTCACTTATTTCACATTCAAGGCCTGATACATTGGGGGATCAAAAACTGTAATTGTAAGAAGTGAAAGAAAAATGTTATATAATAATAGAATAAAATATCTGTTGTGTCTTTATGGCCCGCTAGTTATCACGTAATTTATTCGCCAATCAAAATACGACTTATTCGCCCTTGTACTGTACAAAATCAATGACGTTCGTTCAGTCTGATCAGCCTAGTGTCATATTGGTCCGTTGCTCGCCTAGCCCGTCCAGCTGAGCCCAGAATGTCAGTAACAGCCTCCACTATGCGAACCATTTATTTTAGACTTACTGGGCTTATATACCAAACAAACAGACCGCAACACACTGTATAATAGGAAATAATATTCATACACAATAAAGCCAAAAAGTGGCTGTGAACGTGGGAGACGGTAATTAATAAACTGAATATAATTTAAGAACAGTAAATAGTATAATAACAAATTATAGTTCAAAATGAAGCTTACAATAAGAGGAATATAAATACACATAATTTAATTACTGAATAGTTATAGCATAAGAATATATATATATATATATATATATATATATATATATATATATAATATTTGTCCATTAAAAGGTCTTAGAAGTTACTCGTAATTTAATCTTCATTAGGATATAACAATATCAGTCTTGAGTTTCTGCATAAACTTAACAAAAATAAATTTTCTTTCTCAAAGGTAAACCTCTCCTTATAAAAAGTACAGTATTGTAGTAGAGTCACTACAGGCCTTTATTCTGACCAAATATCTGATTACGTCTCAAGCCACTGAGTTGTTTAATTTCTGGGATTCTATGCAAAGATTCATAATTTTCTAGTACATGGTAATTAGTCACAACTATTCTTCATTTTTAGCTGAACAAATTAATTTTAACTATTCAGAATCCATAATTTCTCAAAATTTTTAGTTTATCTACTACTTATACAGTGATAATCAAATAATCGAGTTGTTTGCAGTTTATTTCAAATATTCCCTTCGTTAATTCCCTGTTTTGGTCCACGTCTATTTAAATTCTCACATTAAATTTCCTTGCTACTACCGAAGTTACTTTATTTTAGGTACTTGGAAGCCCTCAATAATATAACTCGTTTCTTTTTGGAAGTACTTATCTACAGGCTATCAATTTTATGTCCATTAAATATATTAGGTAAAAGTCCTTCAGAGCTAATGCGACTTAAAGAATGTCCATTGGATCCTGGCGGTTACTTCATTATTGGTGGTACTGAAAAAGTAGTACTCATGCAGGAACAAACTTCTAAGAATCGTCTGATCATTGAAGAAGATAGTAAACGTGGATTAGTGTGTTCTGTGACATCGTCCTCTGCTCAAACAAAATCGAAGACTAACATCGTTACGAAAGATGATAAATTTTACCTTTCTCATAATTCCTTCATCGTGGATGTCCCTATCGCCATATTGTTTAAGGCAATGAACATTACTTCTGACCAGGAACTATTGCAACTTATTGGGACAGAAGAATCTGTTTGGGCTAACTTTGTTCCTAGCCTTAAATTATGTTTGGAATATAATGTAAGTTGATTTATTTGATATTTGTTTTACATATTTTGCTAACCTTTCAGCATACTATGGGCTAAGTTTTGAGGTCAAAGAAATAGTCTTAAGACAAGTTTCTTTATTGAAATCGACCCACTTCAATGTCTATTGTCATATCTCCAAATTGAGTAATTTGGAGCCACCGTTAGTCTCCTCCTCCAAGGAAGGGTATAAGATTTCGTTATAATGGCACTAAACTCTTTATAATCTGGAGTTTTTCAGCATATGACACCACATTGTAAGTTTTTCGTCTTCTACAGACATTAGCCATGGTTATAGTATTGTATTTGATGTATTTTCTGACAAGTGTCTCCGTACAATAGAATTCTATGTTCTCAGTTAGGGTTCTATCTATAGTTCCTGCCTCCTCATGCTATGTGATCTTTGGACTATTAAAATGTAGCCAATTATTCTGTTACAGGATTGTTCCCACTGGGGTTTTATGGACATCTGACGAGACCTCATTCTGCTGCGGACTGTGCAACTTGCCAGTTATATTTTCTGTCTTCAATATAGTTATAACTGTAGCTTGGTTTTGAAACCGACCTCATTGAATCACCGGGAAGAATAGAATATAACTACTGCATGTTCTATACCACTGCTTACTGACGGCTCATTTAAGATTCTTCCGTCATACATTGATTTCTTATATTTCCATAAAATGCATCAGTGATATTAATGACTGCATCAATTATTTGTGTGTAAAATAGGAAACCGGACTGATTCAGCTTATCTGTCTGTGATTTTTCTAGAAGAATTTCAGCCGAATTTCCGTGAACTTCTGATGAAACCATGCTTGTACTTGTCCCAAAAGAAAAAGGATTTTTCGCTGATACATTTTAAGTCCTGGGACTAATTGATATGAAATTGAAAAGTTAATACAACTTTTTCTCCTTATGCATCCGTTAAGTTAATGACACCACACTTGTCACTGTTTGTTGTACCTTCAGAAGGAAAATATTCTTGAGTTATATTGGAGCCTCTGTGAACAGGTCGCTATTGTGTTAAGCAGTTGTATTAGCTAGTTCGATTAGTGACCAATGAACAGGAGTCAAGATCTGAAATCCTGTTAGTCCTGGAGCTGCTTCTAACTCAGTGTCTAATCAGAAGACAAACCCAGAAAGAAGATTAATTCTTTTTTCAGTTGTGGCTAAAAACTCGTGCAGTAATATAATTCGAATATCTGACTTATAGCAACACAAATAGAAAATTACGATGTTTGTACGGTTTGATCAGAAGTAATATAAAAACGGAGTAATAGGGAATTAATTATTTAGTGATGTGTATGAAAAAAAAAGAGACATAATAACAGTTTGTGGGTTAAAAGAATTGACTCAACAGCATGTACACAGCACTAAGAAAATTGTCTTAAGAATGAAGAAGGTTCGATAGAAATTATTTCACGCATTTATAATATGTTTCAATACATTTGAAATGTATCAAGTACCGATTTGATAAATAAATATAGTTATTAATGTCTGCCGATCACTAAATAATTCTTCATAGTTATCGTGTTGTCTCCTTTACTTTATTTTTATGTGTAAATGTAGGAGTTGTGATACATGTTTTCTCACTAATTACCTACCTTGAGATTGTTTACCGTTCTGCATTTACGTAGGTGCTAATATCCTTGTATTCTAACTTCAGTAAGATACCTAATTTTTTTCTAGTGCAAAATTGTGGGTGTGTTAGTAAATATTCTCCTGAGAACAATACACATTTATTTAACCCGCCATCCCACACATTTGTAGATTGCAGTCACAATAAGTAGTGCGAGTATAGTTAAATGAGGAACGATTTCAATTTATTTTCGTCTTTGGTTCGATCCCTTACCATGTTCATTTGCAAATGCTTCAAATACTTCCTTTGATGGGTTAAATGAAGGTAACAACTCAAGGTAGTTTCCATAAATTGTATTCAGTCTCTAAGTAATAGAAGAATTCAGTAAACGAGTTTTTTCATTGACAACTATCGTAAAGATAATGTCATGTCACGGGAGTATTTTTATTTTACAGTTATGGTTATTCGTTGGACCTTATCTAGTTTGTATTATGAGGACTTTCAATAACTGAAGCTGTGAATGTAGGTTTATGACTATCTGATCGGTTGTGTTATTTGAGGTTGAAGTCGTTGTGTAAGATGTACTCACGTAATCCAAATTATTGATCTGAACTCCCCAAAATAAATAGATATCAACAGGAAAAATAAATGGCCGACAGAAAACTTATTCTTACTTAACAATTATGATCCATTCGTAGACAAAAATACTTAGTTACTGAGGTGCCAAAGAATTTCTCTCGTCAGTTATATATCGGTTTCCCTTCTATTATACACAATGGCGCAGATGCATCCATTCTTTTTTCTCCCCCAATTCCTCATAACTTTTTTGATTTTTCACTTCACTAATTTATATTTTGTTGAACCGTATCTTCGATGCATAGTCTTTTCTATCTCTACTTACATTATTACTACCTCTACTATTCTGGGATTTGACCGAAAAATTCCAACGGCTTGCGCTAACGGGGTATGGCAACTTGACTGATGTATATACGTACCAGGTTCTGCGTTACTATTGTCTGACTATTATGATTTTTTTTTACTTTTAAACACTACTAACGAAGCATTTTTGTACGCAGTAAAATTGATAGATTAGTATAAAATGGTTTGCAAAACTCTGTAATTATGTGGTCAATTTTCGGGAAATACAACCAAAAAACCAGTTTGGATGTTGATTGTTCTAAACCATTATTGTAACCGCATTTATCCATTAATTTCTAACGTTGATAACTCCTCAATGGTAAAAAGAATACTGAAGCTGGCTTTTACAATTGATTAGTTGCTACCGTGGTTGGTTCTATTATTCACGAATTTAGTTGACTCTTGACTGCAGTCATCGTTTCACTCCGAAGTGAAATAGTAAGATCCATTAATGAGAAATCATAACGAAAATTATTTTGTAAATGGTTTCATCCTCAAAATCAATCAACTTTGGATTTTCTTTTTTTCAGATCCATACGTGCTTAGACGCTTGCAACTGGTTACATTCACGTTTAAGACAACCTCGATATCGCACTGCTTTCGGAGCTGGTAGAACGCTACGAACTGCTGCTAATATTTTAGAGACAGATATCATCATAGAAATACAGAGATTTTTACGAGATATAATTATTACACATATTGAAATGGAAAAACTTAACTTTGCACCGCGTGCATTCTTCTTGGGTCAAATGGTTCGTTATTTAATACTAGCCAACGAAAAACGTATTCCTGTAAGTTACTTTTCATCATATCACTTTAGTTATGTGCAGTTCATCAAATCAGTTACTTTATTTCATGAACAGAAAAGTTTTAAATCTTTTTTTTGATGGTAAAACATGTTGAAATAGGTGTGATAAAGTAGTGAAACTGAATTCATTTTATGTAAAAATAATTGAGAATAAATATAACTCATATTAACTCATCTAATCATGAATCCATTTCGATGCACTTCGTGTTGCATTTTAAGCTGGCCAGTAAATTATATTCTCCTCTAGATATGTATATTTTAAAACTCAAGTGTCAATTTGCTGGGTACATAAACGTAAGGTACGCCGATGATAAGTAGTGTAAATAAATTTTCGTTACCGAATGTTCGTAGGTTCGTTATTTTTAATGAAATATACAAATAATCCATAGTTTGTTCAGTGGGAAATGTTATTTGTGATGTTACTTAATTCATGTCCTGCTTTAATTAGATTTCATTCTAAATTTTAACAAAGACCATCAGTTTAGAATAATTGAACTTTTAGTTGTAGGTTAACCAAAGTGTTGACCATAAGGTGTTTTATCTTAACCTAGTATTTCAATTTATTTGGGTGCGTTTAGGATTGAGTTGTCTCAGGTGCACTTAGCTGCAAACATGGATTTCATATATAAAATTAGCGATTAAAAGCTATAGTTTGTCCCTACTGATAAATTTATATAGATGAAAGACTTTTTTAAAGAATACAGCCATCTATAATAGCAATAATCGCTTTATTCAATATCATATGTTTGATACAGAGGTGGAACTCTCAGCATAAAATATCTCAACTGGGCGTTCCTATCCTTCTTTACGTTAAAATTGATGTGTACATATATAAATCCAAGTTGTTTAGTATGTTTTACAACAGTGATTCGTATTTGTGTGTTTTTAACCTCAAATGTTTTCGGTTATTTTTTTTTACTTATAAATGTCTTATGTGTTAAGTGGATGGTTTAGATTTGATAAAATGACTCTTGCTAGTTGTGCAAGGTTTTAAATGCTTACGTGCAGCCCTATTGATAATAAAATCGTAATGTTCCTCACTGACCATCTAAAGTTCTTATTCAGTGGAGTCTAATGCTGCTAATTTAATATCTTAGTAACGTGAGATCAACTTTCAATCATTGAGTCGTTTGTGAAAATCTAATCTAACGCACATAGATTTAGTTCATCGAATGATATCTCTCTCCTCAACACAATAATTGTTATTCGGTTTGGCATATAAGCCCATACATGGGATTATATTACGTTTCTTTGCTCCTTTAATGACATTTGAACACTAAACTAAAAACCATCCTGTTTTTGATCGGTGTAAGTGTATTTCAATTCATTGTCCTACTGACTGATGTGATTATCATGAATCAATCTTTGAAGTCAATATTTTGTATCAATACTTATTATTTGTATACTTATTTTCTCATTTATTGTAACTTCTTTCAGAGGATAAAACCGGGATCCATAATCTTTTTTAATGTCGTTGTACATCCGTGTACTTACGGAGTTCTCTTTGGAATCTGAATAGTTGATACCATAAATTCCGTCAATAACTCCACGTCCTGGAATTAGTCGAGACCTTCTTAATAGCTTCCACTGAATTAATTGTTTGAGGATAAATTCGACATTTTGGGGTTCAGTGTTCAATGTACCTCTTCCAGACTGAAAACTTTTGATTACGTTTCATAATTTAACCAATTAAGATTGGATTATTTTCACACTTTATGGTATCACTGAGAAATTTTTGCTCATCGCTAAAACCGGGATTCAAGGTTAGGGTTAATGTATCGCTAACTTTCCTGGGATATGTAGCAATAGAGTATTTTAAAAGATGAATGTCATGAAATACCTAAATTGTCTAATACGTAACATATGAAATTCGATTGTTTAAAATAATGATCGACAATGAAATCCAAGACTCATTTAGTTCTATTTGAAACTCACCGGGTTGATGTAAATTCATCCTAGTGTTAATGTTCACACTAAGATTTAATCTGAAAATCTATCGCTTCAAGCACCGACGAATCGCCCATTAAGCTAATATGTTATGATAACCACACACGTCATCCAATGGTTCCAATATTTATTATTTATTAAGGTTAATATATCTATATTGTTGATATCCAGGACTGAATTTAACCAACAATTTATCCAAACATTTGTTGTGGCAAAACTTTGGCCCTATCAATTTCTAATTTACCAACGCCTTTAAAGAAAATTGTTTGCTCACTAAAACTCAGGCTCGCTAGTGTTGATATTACAATTATCATTAATTGCTAGATTCAAGGGTTTGGTTTGAAGAACTGGATCTTTCAACAAAATAATTTGTTTGTTGAGAAATTATTGGGAAATTCCTACCTTGCAAAATCCTTTTTTAGTATTTTCTATTCTCATCCGTATTTTTTTCTAGTTGGTCACTTAATAAAACGTAATCAAACAGAGTATTTACCAATATCGTGTATTATGTTTTGTTTTAATGGCCTCATCTTCTTGATTTGTGAGGACGAAGATTCTAACCTCTTAAAGGTTCATCGTTGGATATTATCCTAGGTATTGTTTTGTGTTTTCCTAACACATGAGGCATACCAATTGCCTGTCTTAAACGACCTATTATTCAGTAGTAACGTTTAAAGGCTCCAATGTAAACGTTTCCACAAGTTTTACGTATTCGTTTTAGAAGGGACCTAACATAAATGTCTAAGTTACTTGAGACTTACACAACTATCCCCTCGTACTCTGTACGTATCTGTTCCAATTTTCTGTAATATCCTTTAATGAATTTTTTTCCATACATTTTTAAATATGTGTATCAATTTTTAAAATATAACAATTTTATGATGAACCTTTAATTGCTTGTTAGCCAGACGATCGGGATTTTTATGGGAACAAACGTATTGAATTGGCTGGTAGCTTGCTGGCCCTTTTGTTCGAAGACGTCTTTAAGACATTTAACGAAGATCTTTGGTTAACAGTATCCAAGATTGATACAAAACGCCGATGTACACCTTTTGATATATCTCGACATATCAAAACGTGGATGATAACCGAACAGTTGAATAGAGCAATTTCTTCCGGAAATTGGATCATAAAACGATTCCGTATGATGCGACATGGCGTTACACAAGTTGTTAGCCGTTTATCTTACGTTGCTGCCTTAGGACATATGACGCGAATGACGAGCCAATTTGAAAAAACTCGTAAGGTAGGTCTTTGGGAAGTGTGACTGATAGTTTTTTTTGATGAATAAAATTATTACTACTAATTGTTAGGGTTTGTATTTTACTATTGTCCATATTTAACAAGAAATTCGATCAGTCTCAAACAGAAATACCATAATCGCTAAACGGATCGACGAATGCTGTTTGATTCAATCACATCGAGCTGACAAGTCCTGTGTAGGGTGAAATGTGCATTTTACATTTTAACTATAATCACTATCGAAAAACATCACAAAAATACATGCTTCACGACTTATCTCTACTGCTTTTCGTCAAGTTTCTGTAAAAAATTTACGATCACCATTATTCACATGTGTAAAAAAACATAACCCTTGAATTTTTTTGTATACAGTATTTTTTTCCAAAGAAAATATATTCGCAGTTTCTGGCTAAGTTAAATAGAGATAATGTAGACAGGCAAAAATGTTTTCCAAAACCACTGAGACAAAGTAAGATGAATCATTGTAATACGTTCTACTCCCTATTCGCGTCATATAGTATCATAGTTTATGCGCTCCTCAAATGTTTTACTAGGTGCAACGGATAAATGTTTTCCATTTCTTCGTAATAGTGGATTGTTTAAATTGCTATACAAAGTATCGTTTTTCTTACTATAGGTCTCTGGTCCACGTTCTATTCATGCAAGTCAATGGGGTCTTATCTGCCCATCTGACACACCTGAAGGGGAAGCTTGTGGACTTGTTAAAAATGTTGCTCTCATGTGTCATGTTACGGTCGAAGTAGACGATGCACATTTGATTGAGCTAATTAGCAACTACTATACATTTCCACTGTACCAGATGAGATATGCTAAAAATGAGTATGTTGATGTTCGCCTTTTACATTTTCTTCTGACTATTAAATTTATTGAACCAATTATCTAATCCAAGTGGATTTTTCAGACCTATGTCATTCATACCTTCAATCTGTATTGCTGGTTATAGCTGTTTTGTAACAGCATAGTTAAATTCTACGATTACTGTGAACTAATCAATTATCAGAATTGGGTAAATTGTCGCTGGAATGGATCACCTAAATTAGTGTACTTGAGGCCCGCTCTCGTGCTACACTTTTATTTAATTTTGTCATAGAGATACTAGTAAAGGCAGTGAAGCGTTTTTTTAACTTTTAACAGATAAATCTATCTGATATTCCTACCATGAACTTATAACGCAGAGATGATAAGCTTCTGTGTGATGAGGACTCTGGAAACATAATTTTCTGAAAGATCCACGATCAAGCCATCCAGCTCAGAGAACAAAACTCCATCAAAATCATCCACCTGCGCTACGAATCTTCTCCACCATCTCAAAGTCCAGGAATGTTTTGTCTCCATTTCCTATCCTGTAAAGGCTGCCTCAGGACTTATATTCGTAAATGCCTATCCTGAATAAAGGGATTAAGGTAGCTGATTTTACATGATTACTTCATGTACTTCGGAAGCTCCGGTGGGTTTGTGACTAGCGACTTCTCGACAAATGGTATACGAAGGCAGACGATATGTACAGATTACCACCAGTTGAGTATAGATGACTTGAAAACACTGATTGTATATAAGAGATTCACTTTTTGAAGTGTACATGTTAGATATAGATTTCTTAATAAGCTTTCTATATCTATTGATTAGGTTACTAACCCCACTGCTCTATAGTGATTAAATGTTTCCTGGTGGATATATTACGTTTGTAAAGTTGCTATTTTCCTGTCAAAAAACAAATTTGGAAAAATACTGATGATGTACGAAAAAATAGATAAGTTCACAAATGTGTTGACTGCTAGTGTGCTTATATACAAATAATTAACAGGCAAGTAAACATGGTTAGATGGGATAAGTAATTAGAGGAAATCAGTTTTGTACTTCAAAACACTTCCCAGTTTATATGATCTAAATGTTAGACCTACTTCTTGACCGTCATATCAGCTAGGTTCCACATTGCTTCTTTCCTACTGTCATTATTTCAACAGTTTTACATAAGAATATGTACTGTTAGTCGCGAATACATTCCTTAATATCTCATAAATTTCAGGTACGTAATATATGTAAATGGAAAACCGATTGGATTCACTCAACACCCTGGGAAACTATGTGTCTTGATTAGAGGTCTTCGGCGTTCGGGTAGGATTCACGGCTTTGTTTCTGTTTATATCAAGCAAGCTCATCAATGCGTTCATGTCGTTAGTGATGGTGGCAGATTCTGCAGGCCTTATATTATTCTGTGTAACGGAAGACCACTAGTAACGGAATCTGTCCTTCAGGTGAGTTTTTGTGGCGACATTTTTTAAACTAGAGCGCCAAGTGTGCTTCACATAATTCAGTCAATATAGAGATTACTAAGTAAGTATGTTGTCAGGTTATGACCTACTTTTCAGGAATTACCAAATGTCGTCGTAAAATTGCTAGTAAAGAAGAGTTATGACAATAACATTTTGTTAATGCTACCAAATTCTACCAATATATATTGTCTTTTATTGTTTAGGTTTTTACGATTGTGAAAACTAGTGGTAGTATCAGGTTATCTGGATCAAAGTAAGTGAAATCGAGTACAACGGCAACGCTTTGAGGTTGGCAATGTACCACTCAGACCAGTTTGAAACTTTGAGTACCAACAAATGTTATGTATTTATTGATAATAATAAGTTCCTCTAAATTATATGTATGTAATAGTGAAGGATTTTTAGGTTGATGACGTGAATCCCATAACTTTAGTTGCATTCACTATCCCAAACATTTGATCATCCTGGTTCTGTTAATGTATCTTGCTCTGCATTAATAAAATATATTGTTACTTAGATTAATTTGGGTAACGATTCCTCCGGTCATCCAATAAATTAGTACCTTTATTCATTTGATGTATTTTTAAATTGTGTTTTGACATGACTAATTACTACTTGTAGGATTTACGCCACAATGTTCTAAATTGGGATGATCTATTGAAAAAAGGGTTAGTTGAATATTTGGATGTTAATGAACTCAACGATTGTCTGGTTGCAATGGACGAGTCCTGTTTAACCGACGGTAATCACTATACTCATATGGAAATCGACCCCGCCACAATTTTAGGTGTCGTTGCTGGTTTGATTCCTTATCCGGATCACAATCAAGTAAACTTTGTTCTTTGCTTTATTAAATAAATAATCTCTTGAATTATTTAATGTAGGCTTTAGTTAAGGTACCCTAGAGCTTATAGCTACGGAGGTGATAGTTGTTATCTCTTTACCAAACCGTAGAACATGATCTGTGTTAAAATAATTATTTGAAAGTCATTAAAAACTGACGTGTTTATCGTTTTCACAGCGTCCTAATTAAAAAGCACATGACTAATTGATGTGTGGTCAGTGAAAGTAATTTGTGATTTATGAGAGAAGACAGACAGACACTCAGGTTATTTACTGTCTAATGTGTGAACTTTTGATTATTGATGTCGACTCTGAACTCATTGAGTAGAGGCTACTTGTAATTGTGTTAAACAAAATATTGCTTAGCCTATATTCTGGTTCTCTTTATTTGATCGTGAATTCTTTGTCCGGTATAACGTGATTCCGGTCTGTGTATAGCGTATCGATCGGGTATCTAGTCTCGGGGTAAGCAATCACGAGCACAGGTATATTAAAGTATTATTATTACCATTACTACTATTACTATTGCTATTATTATTGCTGTTATTACTACAACTTTTATTATTAGTGTTATATATATATATATATATATATATATATATATATATATATATATATATATATATAACTTAAGAGCTGTTCGTTCACTCTTCTTAATGATTTTATTGAAAAACATCTTCTAAGAGCTTTAAAACCAGTAATTTATGTTTACAATTTCAACATTTAATGAATGCTTGAGTGAGTGTTCTTTTCTTTTTATGATGTATATTCGATAAAATATTTTCATTATTTCCATTTCAAATATTATAGTCTCCCCGAAATACTTATCAATGTGCTATGGGTAAGCAAGCTATCGGCACTGTTGCACTTAATCAGCAAATCCGTTTTGATACACTTCAATGTCAAATGGTCTACCCTCAAAAACCCCTTGTTCAGTCAAAGACTATTCAAATGATGCATTTTGATGAGGTAAGCTCTTGTCATATTGATATGATGAGAGGAAAAATCAATATTCGATTGATTTACTTAATATGAGTTTTATTCATCATTACATTCTTTTGATTCAATGTAATGATTACGCAATGTAATATTTCTTTTCTTTTCTCGTATGATATTTATTCTGTATAATATACAATATTCTTGTATTCCATTGACTATGATCTATACTCAGCATATGATTTGTTATAACTGTGAGTATTTTTCATGTATGTGATTTTATTCTAATTATTAATCAAAACGGGTGTACAATCAATATATAAACGAGTATATTTTCTACTAAAGTGCCTTCGCTCTTTTCTCTGGTTGCTGCAGAATACACTTCTTATTTCAAGCTTGGACTTCTCCCTCTTGATAGCGGGGCTGGGGCGCAGCAATAGCTAGCTCACTGGTCATTGGTCATCGAATCTCGTTCTCGTACGCAGACTACGTGAACCCGTGATAGCTCTCTTTTTCAAACCCTAACACATATCATTAGCAGTTTTGTTTTTTTACCTAGCGTTAAAATATGCTCTCTGTGTATAATCTTATTCAAACCAGATTTTTTTCGATATGATACTAAACCAACTTTTACCACTGAGTACTACTAAGAGAGCAGGTAAACAATATCAGTTTATACCTTCCATGAATAGTTAATCCAGTTTATTTTGTAGTGATTTATATATATATATATATATATAATCGTCACTTATAACCCTAAAGATCTTAAGATGATTTATTATTCATGATTGACGATAAGGGTATGATTTGTATTTGTTTCCTTTTGGTTTTACAGTTTAGAAGGTTTATAGTTTGTTGTGAATCATGTTAATTTTAATGGTCGTTTGTCTAAATAATGAATATGGTTTTATTTTTTTTATGTTTGTAATTATTACGTCTACACCGTTTCGTATTTTGTACTCTATTCACATCAGCTTCCTGCCGGTCAAAATGCAGTTGTAGCAATAATGTCGTATTCTGGGTATGACGTTGAGGATGCATTGGTTATTAACCAAGCTTCAATTGATCGAGGTTTCGCTCGTGCTTGTGTTTATCGTCGGTCGGGTGTTCATCTCAAGATGCATGAAAATGCAGTTTACGATCGCTTAATGGGCCCTAGCATAGAGCGAGGTAGGTGAACAGTAACTTTCTTAAATGCTGCCTGATGCCTTATATTTGTTGTGTATCACTAGTTTTTTATGTTCCTTCATTTACACTTCAGTTACTACTGCTGTTTACCATACAAAGTATGTGTCAAAATATGCCAGTAGTCAATCTTACCACGTCTAATTATCGTTCTACTAGGCCTTCCTGTGTACAAAAAATATATTCAGTTCACTAGTTTAGAAAGTAGTGCACTCATTATTTTTCTTCATGCATCCTGTTTTAATGATTGTATTTTTCCTTTTAAAATGTTACCAAATAGTGCTGACATATTACAAGTTTGGTAAATTCATTTAGTAAAAACAAATTTTCAACTGTACTAATTTAACGAACCTGGCGTATTGTAATTGGAACAACAATCACTTTATTTTCATTGTTTTAAAGTGTTTTACCTGGTTTTAAGACAGTCTGTTTGCAACATTATTCTCTCTTTAACTTTTTACTTCATGTCATCTTTAAAGTAATGTCTTGAAATAACTGAGTGGTTTATATTCTATACATGATTTATTATTCTTACATATTTGTCAACCAGTCGGCTACAACTTAGAACCAGGCACATATATGAATCGGTTCAAGTTGCCACACCTCATTAGCACAACAAGATAATTCAATGCTGATAATATATAAAAAGAAAGAATGCATATAAGGATGTAGTGCAGGAAGTTAAAATTAGCTTGTAGAAGGAAAAACATAAAGCAATTTTAATCTCATAGTTTAAGAGAAGACAGAGAGTGCGTACACCTACGCCATTGTGATCGATTCTGAGTCATGTCACTCATTCTCCAACCATTAGTTACGATAGTCACACGGACCTCAGCCAGGTAGTCTGTATCTACCAACATGGCTAAGACCAGAAGTTAGTGACTTCAAGCACTGATGCCATGTTCTGGTTTGGCCGCCCCTAACTTTCTTCCAATTATTCCTAACACTAATCAGCATTGCGAGTCGTGATAATCGGTGTTCAGGCATACGTACCACGTGACCCAACCATCTCAGTCGATGAAGATTCATAACCTCATTAACTGATTTGCCATCATTCCCTAATATCCTGAGTCTAACCTCACTATTTCTCACCCGGTGATCTCAGCAGATGCGAGCAATATTTCTAAGGCACCTGTGGTCAAATACTGGTAACTTACGAGTATCTTCTACACTTAAAGGCCATGTTTCGCAGCTGTAAAATAGAACAGAACAAACTGCTGCGCAGTATACTCGTCCCTTAATTGATAGACGGATATCTCGCCTTCGCCATAGATGACGTATTTTGTCAAAAGCCAAACCAGCATTTCGAATCCGTGCACCGATCTCGTCTGACACCAACCCATTTGTGCTGATCAGACTTTCAAGATAAGTGAATTTGCCGACGTGTCCGACTACTATTAAAGCATAATCAGAGTCCAAACATATAATCCAGAACGAGCAACAGTCTTTTATGAAGTCTCTCCAACGATGACTTATGGCTGTATGATCTATTTGAGTCGTCATGTTAGACGATGTCTCCTTATGCTTAAAATTAGTGCTTGCTAAAAATAAACGATCGTCTGACCACAGTTGCAGCAGATGTTAACTATTATCTGTTCACTAAGCCAGAATACTAAAATGCCCACCTAAATATCTTTTTATTTGGTTTAAGCTACTTACATGGACATTGAAGTCACCTGCTATGAGTACTATGCCTAAGTGTTTAACTTTATGTAGAAGTTCAGAAAGCTTTCCGTAAATGTCATCTTTCACTTCATCCGGGCTGCAGTCAATGGGAACGTAGGCAGAAACAACGAAAAGGCAACAATATATGTCATTGTCCTTTCGAGGTCTTACGGAGCTGTTTAGTGGAACAGCACATAGGCGACTGTTAACGAGGATCCATCCTAATAATGCTTGTTCTGCCCTCTCCTTAGTACTATACCTACACCTGCCCGTACACGAGAGGGTATATCTCCTCGGCCCTATGTTTTAGCGACGTGAGGTCAAGTGGATGATCACACTAGGATCCTGTATGAGTGTTTCGAAGACACAGCATACATCAATAGTACGAGATTCTAAAGTTTTAGCCAAGGAGGCTTTTCGGCCGACTCGACATAGGATGCGTATGTTGAACGCTTCAATGTGTAGTTTTGAGCGAGGTTTCAGTAGACTTGGGATATTATTTTGAGGAGAAAGTCGAAGGAGTAGGTTTAGAGCTGATAGTCAATATAAGAAGCATAATAGGGAAATTAATTATGAAAACAGTACTCTTGTGTAACGTTAGAAGTATGATGGTGGTTATCAGCCAATATAGCCTGACTGCTTCATCACGGTAGACAAACCCGTCCACCATGTCAAGGTAACAGCAACGGTTGAGAAGACTCCTTAGTGTGAAGCTTTATTACGATAGTTTAAGCATTCGTTTCCATATATGTGAGATAATTTTCTTCATTTCCATATTGAAATAGGCATTATTTAGCTGTATCCTTTTTCCTCCATTAATGTTTCAAGGTGTTTCCTCTCGTGCAGGCGTAAGAGTTCCATTTAGTTATTTGTCTTAATCAACGAAAAGTAAATTTTTCATCTAGATCGTGATACAAGACATTGTTGTCGACACTTTGTATTCAGCCTCTACCCCCAAATGCCCTGGTATGGCCGAGAGTGGGGAGAGTCCGCTCTCCCTCTCGAAATGCTCTCACATGGCCATGCGTATATAGCCTCTGCCAGGGAAGTCCTACTCACTGCCTTCTCGTGGCGGGGGTGTTGTATACGAAAATGGGAGGACGAAAAGCGAATGTCCGGCGCTATAACCGGATCCCAAATCAATGGTGCACATGGGCTCCAGTATCCTGCGGGAGCAAATGGCGTATGAACCAGTCGTTGGTCACCGGCTACCATGGGACTGCATCTCCTCACGATGCTCCACTGCCTTGTAGGTCAGACGTTCAGGTCGAAGGCTCGGGGTGTGGTCCCCTAAGAAAACCACCTGGTTCGGTTTGGGCACCCGAGCAGTATCACAGCCCTCACACAAATCAATTGAGATTCGTGTGGCGCATATGTACTTGTTGCCTCTCTGTACCTATACTAATGTGTTAAATTAAATAATAAATAAATAAAATTCAGCCTCTAATCTCCACTCTATATTTTGTTCTACTTAGAGACCGGCTTTCTTCGTCGTGGAGACGAGGTGCTTCAGGCGGATGGAGTTGCGTACATTGGCGCTTGTGTTAACGACCGTCAAATCCTTATCAATAAAGAAATGCCTGTCGTTAGTTCAAACGCTGTATTGGATAATGCGGGATCGCTTAGTTTAAATGTGAATACACCTGAGAACGCGGTAAAGTCTGTCATATAATTTATTTTGCGCTTTTTCTCTCAATAAAAATCTTAGTAGGGAATATACAGTACAAAATACTTTCATTCCTATTAGTTTTATAAATAAAATCTGTGACTAAGTGTACAGATGATGATCATTACATATTTGCTTCGCTATTCAGAACAAAGTCGATGTGGACCGTTATGTCCAATAATTGTATTTCTACATTTCATATGTAAACTGCTGATACATCATCAGTATAGAGGATCTTGGTGATTATTAAATATGACAAATCTTCTGAGTGAACGCTGGAATTGATTTCATAAGCTCTTATAATAACCCAGACTAACATTATACGACATGAGAGAAAAGGCGCGAAATATGAAAAAAACGCTTTACTCCCAGGTTCGTTTATGCACAGAAAAACGAGGGTATTTATAACATTTCAGATGACATTGGGTTTCTAGAAGGTTCTGGAACCCTACCAAACATAGTAGCAGGATAGGTAATCATTCAATCAGGAATGTGATGCGTGACTCTTCACTTTCTAGATGTTTCTGAAGAATTTCTATTCATTGCGGAGTGGATAAAATGTTTCCCAGCGTTTTCAGGGCCCTTTTCTGCTTTTTCCAGGGAATATTCTGTGTCTCCTCAACAAAATGTGATTGAGATCACAAACAGAACCAAGTTAGATGACAATCAGGGAGCCGGAAGCACTGGTGGTTTTAATAACATTCAATAATCTCTATAAACCCTCCTATATTGATAATTATCATGTACTAACTAGTGACTTAATTCGAAAGTAAATTTTCAGAGTGTTAATGAGAAGCCGTGACCAGTGAAGTTCCACCATATTGGGTGCGAGACAGTTACCCACCACTGACAATAGAAAGTGATTGGCAATATTGTGATTTGGTTTATATTTATATCAATGCTCTGAGAATCAGTGAATAGTGTCAACCTAAGAGAACTCATTTGATACTGAAAACAATAAATGAATTATTGGTGTTGTTGAACTACAAAAGTATCCATAATTCAATACTTGTACTAAGATATTAACAAAATATGTACCACTTTTCTTGTGTAACATTCTTTGTGATTAAATATTTCTAATACTCAACTTTTTTACATTGTAAAATGAGAATAAGAAAAGCTCACAAAAATTAGTTTATGAATTTACAAAGTTGATATTATGTTAATTACTGATTCGCACTAGACTTAATTTAAACATTGTAAATCACCATCGGTTATGGTTTTAAGTGAAATTAGTTTTTTGTATTTAGATTTAAATTCAGACACAAATCTTATAATTTATTCTAGTGTATTTCTTCATTTTAAGTTTGTGCATTTACCATTTCATTTGTTTATAATAAGAAGACACATCTCTCCCCGTTGATCCTATCATATGCTTTCTCATTTTCTTCATCTGGTAGACGGAATTTAAGCGTTGTCCCGTAGACTACAAAGGGATAGAGCCGTCCTATGTAGAAAAAGTTTTGTTTTCCACATCAGAAGGAAACCAGGCAGTAGTAAAAATATTGTTGCGTCAAACTAGAAGACCCGAAGTTGGAGATAAGTTTTCTAGTCGCCATGGTCAAAAAGGAGTCGTTGGACTTATTGTTCGTCAAGAAGATTTGCCTTTCTCAACGAATGGCCTTACTCCTGACATTATAATGAATCCTCATGGATTTCCCAGTAGGATGACGGTAGGTAAATCTTTTGACAAAATTTCACCGACCCATTTTTATCAGGGAATCTACGGTTTACAGATTTCGATCACTCTATTGTTTTCAACTCCTCCTAATAAACTGAACTTTATCGTGATTTCCTATTTTTCCTCAAGCTATCATTAAAGATAATGCATAGTCTTATATATAGCGAACTCTAAAGTAGAACTAGATTAAAACACTTTGTAAATCACTAAACAGATTCCAAAATGATTTCTCTCAAATAAATTGCAAAATTCACTTCGTCTCAGCACATAACTGCATTTTAGTCAGTTATAATCAACAGAGCTTGGCACCGATGTATGTCAGTCCAAGTTGCCATACCAAATAAGCACGACAAGATGAGATTACCAAGATGAACAGTCAAAGTCGAAATAACTACAGTATTAATAATGATGAAAATGATTAAGCATTAAATAATGCTGTTCAAATATAAGAAATGAATACGAGAAATATAAATTTCGGGATGATATCGAAGCTGTTCAAAAAGTTCGCCCTCACACAAATCAAATGATTTATGTGGGGCATATCTATTTGGTACCTCCTTGTACCAATGTTCATGTGTTTAAATAAATTCAAAAGGTTCTATGTCATATCAGAATTTTATCCAGGGAAAACTGTTACCTGCGTATCTAAAATCGGAAAGTAAAACTCCTGGTCCAAGAATACACAATCTATAGAAAGTTTGTAGACCTCAATGAAAGAGACCTTCCTATCCATCTGGATTGAATGATTTGTTTGTCACCTGTTATGCTACGAAATACATGTACAAATTTAATCACTCCATAGTGTAAATATGACACAAACGCAAGGAACGTGCATCGTGAATGTTCATCTTCGATAATTATGGAAGTAGTATCCTTAATCTCGTTTTTATTTACAAATGGGTCTAATTTCTTGCTTTAACGTTTTTAAACTTGTGTTTGCTTGAGATCGATTCTTTGGAGAAAACCAACGTGCATAGTCATGAATCATTAATTTATTTTCAAATTCGTCAGGCTATTAGGAATAGATTACTTCAAACACATTTCTATATAGGTAAATGCTTAGGATGAGGTAATGAGCTTAAGAAGATTTCCCAATAAATTTACCGCTGTAAAATTATATCAACCATGTAATATTAAACTAAATAAATCTGTCCGTAAGTGGCGCTTGTGAATGTAACGCTATGTTTGAAGAGATTACGAGATCACCTAAAAATCAGCGAACGGAACGAAGGATCAGCGAAACAACGACAAGACAGATGAACTATTCTAATTTGTTCCACTCCAGCTAACAAGAGAGAGAATTCCAGGTTCAGATAAAGGAAAGTATGTTCCACAAGTAGCAAGAAGCATGAACAACAACAAACACACAACCAACCAATGACATATAATGGCCGTTCATGTGGGAAATACAATCTGAAGTTAATAATGGGTGCTTTTGGCGCGAAAACGAGAAATTCAAAACGAAAAAACGTTTACTAAATAAATTCTGGGGCTCTAGCATTCTCAAAATGTAAATACTATATTTTTCATCCGAAGTATTACGTAATTTATGTTGCTTTTAAGAGAGTAATCTTAGAATTTCGCAAATATTTGCTTCATTTTATAGTAGCTTGCGTTCCCAAAGATGGCTCTAAATTGTGAAATGCTGATTTGACTTTTTAATTAAAGTGGATTCTGTTCAATCGATGTCAAGCGAATAATCTGTACATTCTGTCAGAATTCGTCACCTAGATTTTTAATACTTAGAAGTCACTATCTGTAAACTGATGAATATACCATCGTGGAATAACTTTCTGTTACTCTGAGTTATCGATTCTGTTTGGTAACTATCAACTCATTTAGCAACTGTTCATAATTAACATGTTTTCAATTTTTATTTAGTTCCATTTCCTAAATTTATTGTCTGTATTTACTTTAAAGGTGGGTAAATTGTTAGAAGTCTTGGGTAGCAAAGCTGGGGCTATCGAAGGAAAAATTCGAGATGGTTCGGCGTTTTCTGGGGATCCTGCTGAAGTCCTTTCACAAGTACTTATTGATCATGGGTATCATTATCTTGGTAAGGAGATTTTGTATTCTGGCGTCACTGGAGCCCCGCTTGAAGCGTTTATTTACTTTGGTCCTGTTTATTACCAGCGACTAAAACATATGGTTATGGATAAAGTAAGTGTCGAATTTTTTATTTTGACTTTGATATAGATTGAGATTACTGGATTCATGATTAGTTTCCTTTCGTCTTTACCCTAAACCCTAGAGTAGTCATATAGATTTTTTGAAAACAGGTTAAAGTCCTAATAAAATAAAAACCCACCGAAATACTAAGTATTTATGTAGTGAACGAAGACTTAGTGCAGATAACCAATCTATTGTTTAATGTGAAAATTAGAGAGTGCTTTGGTCAAATATGAAAAACATGTTTAGGGCGTCTTCAGTTGTGAGTTAGTCTAGAATAAAACACCAGAAAACTTCTTTTCACAATAAATGTAGATGCAAATCAACTTTTAAACCATTGACGTCCTATAGCTATGCTTAATTTGACAAAATTTGCAAAATATTTCCAGTAATAAAATATGTTTACATTTCTCAAGTTTAGTGAATCTGAGGACTTCAATTATTTACTGATTACAAATTTTGTATGCGTTAAGACGCATAGGTTCTGACAGTCAACTTTTTAAACGGAATCGTAATCAAAAGTGGATAAAGTGTCCCTCAGTAAAGGAAGTAACTTACTTTTCAATGCATCGAGTTACTGGTAATTACTAATTTTTACAGGTAAAGAGGTATTCTTAATCTAGGGGATATTCTTATTCAATTGCTTTTGTTATAATCCATTACGAGCTACAGGAATTGAAACGTCAACCCAATAGTGAACTCATTGGTTTATTTAATGGGTTTGCTGTGAACGAATACTTAGGTAAGGAAGACTAATTTATTAATTAATACAAAATCACAGAATGTCTTCGTAAACTACGAAAACCATACATTAAATGCTTCATTTGTACATCTTCCACCACCTGTCTATTACAAACTTCATCGTTCCTTCATTCCTATTTTTATTACAATTAATCTCTGTTTACATTCCTGTTCGCTTCAGTTTGATCTCAACTTTCTGCTGTCAGTTATTCCACTTCTGATTGGTGTTACATACTACTTATGTTGACAGACATAGTATACACCACAGTGGTACCTCAATTTGCCTTGATCACAAGAATGTAGATAGTTGTATCTTTTCGCATTGTCACTTCTGTTCCCTTCGTTTGAGGTTCCGACTATAACTATTGGTGTTAATATAACGGTGACATTTAGGAACGTAAATCGAATTATAATCACTATTATCAAACCGTCGAATCGCATATAATTGTGCTTCAATATAAGACGTTTTACTCTTTCTGAATGAATACATACCTAGTACTTAGTTGCATGTATCCAAACATATTTTATTCCATTACTTTGAACAGATTAAGGTTTGGGAGTAGTGTTTTGCCGAGCTGCCTAGTACAATTTTCTCAGTGTCTATGGACTTGATTTGCTTTTTGCTTACTGAATACGTTGTATTGTTATTCTTAAACTATTGTACTATCACTTTCAGGTACATGCTCGCTCACGCGGGCCCGTCACAGCATTGACTCGACAGCCGACGGAGGGTCGTAGTAGAGAAGGAGGTTTACGAGTAGGAGAAATGGAACGAGACTGTTTTATTGCTTATGGTACTTCACAATTACTATTAGAACGTCTTTTGCTTTCCAGCGATGCCTATGATGCATGCGTATGTGAAAAATGTGGTTTGTTAGCTACGTCACCTAACTGGTGTCAGTATTGTCGAAGTAGCCGTCAAGTTGTTACTGTCCGTATGCCGTATGCCTGCAAGCTGCTTTTCCAAGAACTGATGTGCATGAGAATTCTGCCGCGCCTTCGTTTAAGGACTGCTTATCATAGCAGTATACACACTAAGTCTAAGTGATTCATTTTGTATATTCAAATTAATTGTTGTTGATAACTCTGCTATATAATTCCTATGAATTTGTATAAAATCGGCTGTCACTATTTGAATATGTTTTACTTATATTTATCAACGCGTAATTCCATTTTCTGCGAATCGATAGTGAGTACAACATAAGGGAACTGATTAAGAACCAATTAAGAAATTTTTAAACGGGTTAACAAGTCAAAGGTAAACGAAGAAAAACTTCCATGTTCCTTGTATTCATCTATCTAAATACGCTTGTGTTTAAATATAATTTAAAGCAATTAGTCCCTTTTGTAAATTTCGATAGAACAATGAGAAGACGGAGTTGATCTGAATAATACTTGATAAAAATGTAATGACTTTAGACAAATTCTTGTTATTTTCTTGAAAACATTTGATTTTCGTATTTGCAGGCTTTCGGTTCTTTCTTGTCTATCGGGATCCAAAGTGTATACAGTTCTCTTTATTTTTCTTAGTTTTAGTTGGAATTATTTGTCTTACCTTAAAATAACATTTTTCATCAAGTAGTAATATGAAAATTAATTTGATAGAATACCTATCATATCTTGATGTATTTTTCGACAGAATTAATATCATCATGATATTGACAAAACGTGAAAACCATTGGCTTCCCAAACAAAGTTTGATGAGGTCATAAGTCTTCCTATTGATCTCATGGCGGATCAACCTACTTATCATACTAAAACCAGGTAAATAAAGATTTACTTTCATTCTACATATGAGTGTTTAATCTTGTCTATCCAAAATAATGACAAGTATCGGAGAGATATAATCGTAATCTACACGGTTAAATGAAAATTAGCTTGACATCAGAATTACTGTCAGACATACATGTTTACCTTTCAAATAATAGAGTACAACTCAGATTTCTAGAGGGACAATAGTGATACTCGTTCTCTGAACAAAACTAGGCATTATCTCGTTATGATCTTGCTTATGTTAGTAACAATAGCCACTATTCATCACATGAGTGATAAAGCATATACCTTCTATGACTTGCTATCAGTAAATGATAAAGTCAGTTTAATGGTTAGGACTACCTTTTTATTGTGAGCAGGTACTTACTTACGCCTGTTACTCCTCGTGGGGGAGCATAGGCCACCCACCAGTACTCTACATCTAATCCTGCTCTGAGCAATCCTTGTCACGCCTGCTTCCGATTTCCGACGTAGTGTGTTCTTCGGTCTTCCTCTTTTCCGCTTTCCTTCAGGATTCAAAGTTAGCGCTTGCCTCGTAATGCAGTTTGATGATTTCCTCAATGTATGTCCTATCCATTTCCATAGTCTTTTCATAATTTCCTCTTCAGCTGGTAGCTGGTTCGTTCTCTCCCACAAAAGGCTGTTGCTGATGGTATCCGGCCAATGGATGTTGAGTATCTTGCATAGACAACCATTTATAAATACTTTTACCTTCTTGATGATGGATGTAGTTCTCCAAGTTTCAGCTCCGTACAGTAGGATTTTCTTGACGTTCGTATTAAAGATTCTGGCTTTGATATTGGTTGACAGTTGTTTTGAGTTCCTTATGTTCTCCAATTGAATGAATGCGGTCATTGCTTTGCCGATCCTCGCCTTTACGTCTGCGTCTAATTCTCCACGTTCATCGATGATGTTGACCAGGTACGTAAAAGTTTCAACATCTTACAGAGCTTCTCCATCAAGTATGATTGGGTTGGTGCTCGTTGTGTTGTACTTGGCGATCTTGAATGTTGTGGCCTACTGATACAGAGGCTGCTGCTATACTAGTTGTTTTCAATTGTATTTGTTCGTATGTATGGGATAGAAGGGCCAGGTTATCGGCGTCTTTCATCCGGTTCAGAAACACTACATTGAAAATTTTCTGGTACTGACAGCAGTGTGATGCCTCTGTAGTCTTCACATTTGCTCAGATCTCCTTTCTTTGGTATCTTTATGAATTGTCCTTCTTTCTAGTCCATCTGCACTTTTTCTTCCTTCCAAATCTCCTTGAAGCATGTTTGCAGTTATTTCAATGTCTGACTTCCTGCTCTTGATTTGTCTGATGACCATCTTGATTTCCCCGATCGTTGGTGGAATGACATATTTAGGAAGGTCTATGTGTGCTGCTTCGATGTCAAGTAGATTCAATGGAGCTGGTCTATTCAACAGCTCCTCGACGTATTAATAATTACCAATGAGAACATATTGATACGTGGGCGAGCAAAATAGTGATTGGATGTCACGCTAGTATATAGTCTGACCGCTATTTGATGTGTTATATGTATTTTCCTACCTTCTTAAATTATATGATAATCAGTTGTTGAAATATATTCACATGCTAGTCAAGCCAGTCACCTGTTCTTGATCACAGTTGTGTTGCAGTCCTGCATGATAGACAGTCAGAGTATCTGACTTAAAGGAGAGAAACGAGCTTTATTTCGCGTATCTTCCCCACTTTTTTATGGTTCTCATTAATAGGGTTAGTTGCTATTAACTATGGATGGTAAAATATAGAACGGGAACCGCTGGGAATAAACTCCACGTGTTCAAGTCATCAAACAGTATCTTAGTCCGTCATTGCGGCTATGTTTTCCTTGATACTGTCGCTCATTTGTAGATATTTCGAGATGCTTTCTACCATAAAATTTATTGCAGTTATGTCTTCTGCTATGTTGTTATTTTTTCCCTTCAAAACTGACTGTCCTACACTTGACAGATCCGTAGTATGATGGAGTGATATCTTCATCGTCAGTCATTCACAACGCAGAACCTGTGCTTATGTACATCGGTTCAAGTTGCCATATCCCATTAACACAGAGAGATGAAGTCGTCAGACCAAATCCCAGGGTAGTAGAGGTATTAGGAAAGATTAGGCATCGACTATATGGCTCGAAAGGTAAATATAAATTGGCGAAATAAAAAGGTTATAGACTTAGAATTTGGGGGAAAACAAAGAATGGATGAACCCATAAAGGAGAACACAACAAACTGCTGCACAGTAAACTCGCCCTTTAGTTGTTAGACGACTATCTCACTTATGCTACAAGTGACGCAAACTGACGAAAGCTAATCGAGCCATCTGAATTTGTGCCAAGATTTCGTCACACCGTACCATCAGTACTGATGAGACTCCTAATATATGTGGAGCATTAATTTAGGCGATGACTCAAGCTAATCCTGATGTAACATTATCAATTCGGAGGGAGAGGACCCCATCCCAAACATGGTCAGTAGGCTGCATTTTGTCAGCGTTTCACCAAACAGAACTATTTCACCTGCGTATCTTTAGTGAACAAGTGAATCTTATGGTCGAAAATCAACCCCTGAATAGTCAGCCGAGTATCATTTCTAAACACATGTCTATGACAAAGTTAAATAAAAGTGGAGAGGACGGACAACTTTGACGAACACCACTTGAAATAACCAATGACAGTTCACCATAAATTCTGACTAGACCAGTGTTCTATTAGGGAGCCTGTACAAGAATAGTGTTTTTATCTGGCCTTCCGAAGACACACTGTTACGAAATCTCTCGATTAACAGAGTCGAACGCCGTCTTTTGGTCAAGGAGCACAACGATAGTTTGACGTTGAAAAGTATGTCTATGTCCCAGAATCTGCCGAAGCATGAATATTTAGTCTATACATCAACGTCCCGGTCTGCAACCGGCTTGGTTTTTTCGAGTTTGCTTTTCACAAGCCTTAGTTAGACCTCAGAGTATCATCAGCTTTAATATTATAGACACTATATTAGTTGAACTGATTCCCTTGTGATTGTCATAAGAGAATATTTATCCTTCCTCATAAACTTGGACGATCAGCGACCGAAACCAATCAAATGGGATTACGTCCAGTTTACAGACTTTGGCTAAAATTTCAGTTACTCTAACTTTTATAACTGGACTATCATCCTTTTCATGAAAGACATCGAAAACAACATTTAACGAAACACGCCCTCTATCATAAATTACGATGGTGTAGATAATAATCCCCACTTCATTTTAGCTGGTTAAAATTGCCAATGAGGGTGGGGTTTACGTTCACCCACGAGAACTAACGGTTCAAATGTAATTTAGATTTGCCACTATGTATGCCGCAAAAAATTGTATAGAGAAATTATGATAATAAAAAGTATTTGGATTATTGTATTAAATAGGAATCCCCGAAACAGTTCAACTTCAGCTTAATAGAACTAGGTGAGTACAAACGAACGTATTGAATTTAGAATTCGAAATCAACCAGGAATCACGCAAAAGCAATCATTATTTCATACAAACACCACAGAAGTTCACCATAAAGTAGCTGCAGACAGAAATAATGTTACCTCTGATATTTGATTTGTAGGCTGCTTATTCACTCGTCATAAAAACCGGGCATTCAGGGTGATCTATGCCTCATTCTCCCTACACGTTTGGAATTATACGACACATAATGCCCTGTTTCATTCACGTAATTAACTTTTGAGTCTTTGATTAATTGAGGTTACGGACATACGCATAGGGCATAATCAAGCTGTTTCATATCTAAGAGTTAGTTGAAATCCAAGGAGAAACTGACCGTATTTTTGCTACCTCACACCAGAACTATTTTAAATTCATCAGCGAATACCAATTCACTCGACAAGTCCTTAAATCAAAACACGGTTGAACAGGAAAAAAACTATATTCCAAATAACAAGGGTAGATGGTAGTAGGAAGCACAACAAGAGAAACGTCAGTATATTTATAGTTTATACATGGGAAGATGCTAGAGATCTACGGGTATAATTAGGAAACATTTATTTGTACTATCCAACTGAATTTGGGGAATGTTCCAAAGAAAGAACTATAGTGTGTGTAAAAGCATCATTTTGTTGTGAGAAGTGGAAATGTACCCCATTTCAGGATGGCATCGCTTAGGGAAACACTATACAACTATTTAATCCTAGTTTACAATACTACAAAAATGTGTATCAATTTATTCACCCGGGTTTTGGAACGAACATTAATCAGTCAGAGAGTAGAAATCAACATCCTATGATGACCTTGATATATAGCTGACATCAAGTGAGGCTTGTGAACCAATTAAATAACTGTTTCGGAATTGGAATGAATCTATAAAATTCTGTTTTACTCAATAATGCTGGTTGGATACATGCTTCAATGTCGTTATACCAGTGGGTATGTTGTATGGATTTGTAGTCCTTCGGAAACTTAGAGATCTGTGTAATTTATTTTCATGAAAGCATCCGCAATGTTTTGGCTGCACTTATTAATATGGCACATACCACTTGTGCATGATTATAGAGGTGGAAGATTCTTGAAAATCCCTCAACACTTTGACGCTAATCCCGTTAGTTTTAAGGACTCAAGCAGGTCTAAGACGCAGAATCAAACATTCACCTCAGTTCTGGCACTCCATTGCTCTCGGTATTTCCACCTCCTTGCTAGTTAGACTTAGTGTTAGCTTCCCTACTTCTGCACAGCATGATAAAGAGTTCTAAGCCAAATGCTATGCAGTGTTCTAAAAAGATCCATGTCGTTATGTTCTGCTATATCGAGCTCAGATATAATCAGTACTTGTGATATTATGACGAACATATTCGCCCGAAAATCCATAAATGTAATCGGGTAAGTAAAAATGATTCCCGTAAAAATGCATGTTCCTTCTGTATTGGAGATCGGAAATTTATCATTATCTTATTCTTCACACCGTGTACATGAAAGAGGACAAGAATAATCCGAGGTTTTTCCCTTATTCCAGTGAACAAGTCAGCACGCACGAGAAATATTTCTAATTGATAGATCAATATGATAACAAATAAGTTGCCATATGAACATAAAAAACATGGTTAGAATAGACCTAAATTTTATTTTATGTACAAGATTGTTAAAAATATTTATTATCATTAATTATGTCGAGCTACATTTTGATAGACCCACAACCTTTCCCACGACGTGTTCTTACACTAGCCGATAAATTTAGTCTGGCTTTACGTCTGTTTTGATACTTGAATGACTCATCAGCAATATCTGTCGAGGCATTCGAAACTAAACCACTACATTTGGAATGGAGGAAATTGTGCAGTTTAACAGCAGATTCACTGGAAATTAACAAATAGATCAAGTTGGAATTGGACAGTAGCATGTATAAACTATTATTAAAACGGAAAATACTATGAAACTAATGTTGATTGTCAGCTTAAAATAAATTAAATGAACATCATTAAAACAAAGCATAATGGGGTTTAAAATCAAATCATGATTAATCGAATCAACAATTACAAACATTTCCATAAAGTTGCACTGAGGAAGTCAATCACAATGTAATAATTTTACGTGAACTATTTCTGCCACAAGTGAAAATTAAAGGTTATTTAACATGATATGACCGATTGAATTATGATACGATAATCATTATGTATTTCCACTGATAGTATACGAATCGACAATAAATGTGACTGCTGCTACCCGCAGAACCATATATCTCAAGGAGCATGATTTACAGCCTGAGTAGAAATATTTCTACCTAACTGACCAACGTACCTGAAATGTCGACTTCCACATTAGGCGCTCCCTATCAGAATACAACGATATTTAGTCAGTCTAACAGAAAATCTTAGAATGCATCACAGGATATCACTCGTTTAATTTTGAAGGTATCAACATCTACGATAAAATCCAGTCATACATGGGGTAATCCATTTAGAATAGGACTCAAATCTGATTTGTAGAAGAAACAAATTTGTTGAACAATAGAAACGAGTTTTTTGACGTTCGACATCAACCGCTTAGAGTAAAGCCTATATAGAAAATACTCCATGCATCTGCGGAAGTTCTAAATATGCAGGTGATTAGCTTAGTCTTAAATTTGTGAATATCTTGTAATATTCATTACATTCACCTGGAAGCTCTGCAGTTAAAAATTTGACATCTTAAGTGGTTAATGCTGGAAATTTGTTATAGTTGAACATTAACGCTATCGTTTCGCTGAGAAATGTAGGTTGCCATTAGTTACAATCACAAGGTTGAAATTTTCAGAAAAATTCTTATTAGTTGTGATTTAATTCCTGGCTATTAAAATTCTTAATTGGTGGTCCTTTAACTTCAAGATAGTTGCTTATTTTCATAAGTCAATACCGAATATAAGAAAGAATGAAGTAAAATATCTTTAAAGAATGTACAACCAAGTGATGGGTGGTTATCATAAAGTAGTTATCGAAAACTATGAAGCTGAGCTGATAGCAGAAGAAAACCTTTACGAATCATGAGGTAATTATCCATCTGAAATATTGTAACAACTAATTTAACCGTATTATTCTGTACTGTACGGTCGGAAATTGGCAATTCACTCAATGACACAGATTCTGAAGTAGCTCATAGCACTGGAATTCGTAAGACATAGCGGATATATTGCCAGTGCATTTTCAAGAATCATTACATTTTAGCTCAGTGAAGTTACTATCACACTCATCTGTAAAGATAACCATAGCATACACATGTCCATTGATGTGGTAAACAATGGAGAACAGTTTGTTAGGATAATACTTGTTACTAATTTCCTACATAAGATAGTAGATATTGTGAAACTCGGATATTATTTAAGATCATGCAAACCACTGTTTAAGCTAGCTCTTCCTTGTTCTGAACGGACATCAGAACTTTAAAAACATATTAGTTCTGCTGAATCTACCTTGTATAGCTTTGTCTTTTTCTGATTACCTCCACCACATTTTTGTATCTTCGTTAATTTTAAATCCTCATAATGCTATATACTAGTTGAAATGTATTTTGATGACGATGATACACCACTTTTGAGAGCAAAAATGATTTGAAATTTATTATAACGGAACAAATATAAAATTTGGGACTAGTTTTACGAAGTATTATTAATAATAGTTTTGTTGTATAGTCACTAAACAACTGGGTTACTGTATTCCTATTCCATTTACTATAAGGTTTCAGTTAATACAACTCCGCCTGGAGTCCCTTTCGGGGGGCTACTGCCGGTCCCAAGCCCGGATAAAGAAGGAGGGTTGGGCATGGGGTTAGTGACCCCATCCCGTAGAAAACTAACTCGCTAAAAAAACGCTAACCAGAAAAAATTATTCAAATCATTTAAACTCTGCCCTTGGAGTCAGGAGGTCTTCGTTTAAAAGAATTATGACGCCTCATGATGAAAGCCGAGTTTCTTCGGAAGTCACGAGGCCGATGCCCCTTCTAACAACCAGCTATCTAATAGACGGATCACACGTTATAAAAAAAGCAAAGAAAACGGGGATTACAATGAACGTCATCCAATGCTACGCGCCTACCAACGACTACAATGAAGACGCTAAAGATCAATTCTACGATAGGCTGCAGTCAATCGTCGAGAAGTGCCCAACAAAAGACCTGACTATTTTGATGGGAGACCTAAATGCCAAGGTTGGAATTGACAACACCAGATATGAAGAGATCATGGGACGACACGGACTGGGAGAAAGGAACGAAAATGGTGAGAGATTTGCAAACCTATGTGCCTTCAATAAACTGGTCATAGGCGGCACTATATTCCCACATAAACGCATACACAAAACCACATGGGCTTCACCGGATCACACCACACAGAACCAAATCGACCATATCTGCATCAACAAAAAGTTCAGGAGGACGTGAGAACAAAGAGAGGAGCTGATATAGCATCAGATCATCACTTGCTGGTCGCCAAGATGAAATTGAAACTCAAGAGGCACTCGACAACGGGGAGGACAATATCACAAAAATTTAATACGACTCTTCTTCGGGATAATGACAAACTCAATAAATTCAAGATAACCCTCAGCAATAAGTTCCAAGCCTTTCATGATCTACTCAATGGAGAAGAAACTACTATGGAGAGCAACTGGAAAGAGATAAAAGAGGCAATCACTTCAACATGTCATGAGGTTCTGGGCCAAAAGAAGCACCATCACAAGGATTGGATCACGGTCGATACACTGGATAAGATTCAAGAAAGGAGGAACAAGAAAGCAGCAATCAATACCAGTCGAACAAGAGCAGAAAAAGCCAAGGCACAGGCTGAATACGCAGAAGTAAACAAGCAAGTAAAGAGGAGCATCAGAACTGACGAACGTAAATATGTGGAAGATTTGGCGATGACGGCGGAAAAGGCTGCCAGAGAAGGAAACATGAGACAACTGTATGAAACAACAAAGAAACTCTCTGGAAATCAACGTAAACCAGAACGACCAGTGAAAAGCAAGGAAGGCAAGGTAATCACCAACATTGAAGAACAACGAAACAGGTGGGTAGAACACTTCAAAGAACTCTTGAATCGACCAGCCCCACTGAACCCACCCAACATCAAAGCAGCACTCACGGACCTCCCAATTGATGTTGGCCCACCAACAATTGAAGAAATCAGCATGGCTATCAGACAAATCAAGAGTGGCAAAGCAGTAGGACTAGACAGCATTCCAGCAGAGGCACTGAAAGCAGACGTAGCGGCAACTGCAAGGATACTCCAAACTCTCTTCAGAAAGATCTGGGATGAGGAACAGGTACCAAAAGACTGGAAAGAAGGACTTCTAGTCAAAATACCAAAGAAAGGCGATCTCAGCAACTGTGACAACTACAGGGGAATCACTCTTCTTTCAACAACAGGAAAAGTCTTCAACAGGGTATGATTAAACAGGATGAAGGACTCCGTAGACGCCCAACTTCGAGACCAACAGGCAGGATTCCGTAAGGATAGATCGTGCACAGACCAAATCGCAACTCTACGGATCATTGTGGAACAATCAATTGAATGGAATTCATCACTCTATATCAACTTCATTGACTACGAAAAAGCATTTGACAGCGTGGACAGAACAACCCTATGGAAGCTTCTTCGACACTACGGCGTGCCTCAGAAGATAGTCAATATCAAAGGGAATTCCTATGATGGATTAAACTGCAAAATCGTGCATGGAGGACAGTTGACAAAGTCGTTCGAAGTAAAGACCGCTATCAGGCAAGGTTGCTTACTCTCACCCTTTCTCTTTCTCCTAGTGATCGACTGGATCATGAAGACGTCAACATCTGAAGGGAAGCACGGGATACAGTGGACAGCTAGGATGCAATTAGATGATCTAGACTTCGCAGATGATCTGGCTCTTCTATCGCATACGCAACAACAAATGCAGGAGAAGACAACCAGTGTAGCTGCAGCCTCAGCAGCAATAGGTCTCAATATACACAAAGGGAAAAGCAAGATTCTTCGATACAACACAACATGTACCAATCCAATCACAATTGACGGAGAAGCTTTGGAAGATGTAAAAACCTTTACATATTTGGGCAGTATCATCGATGAACACGGTGGATCTGATGCAGATGTGAAGGCACGGATTGGCAAAGCAAGAGCAGCATATCTACAACTGAAGAATATCTGGGACTCAAAACAATTAGCAACCAACACCAAAGTCAGAATTTTCAATACAAATGTCAAGACAGTTCTACTGTATGGCGCGGAAACCTGGAGAACTACGAAATCCATCGTCCAAAAGATACAGGTGTTTATTAACAGTTGTCTACGCAAAATACTTCAGATCCGCTGGCCGGACACTATAAGCAACAACCTACTGTAGGAGAGAACAAATCAGATCCCAATGGAGGAAAAAACCAGGAAGAAGCGCTGGAAGTGGATAGGACACACATTGAGGAAAGCACCGAACTGCGTCACAAGACAAGCCCTCACATGGAATCCTCAAGGTCGAAGGAGGAGAGGAAGACCAAAGAATACATTACGCCGAGAAATGGAGATAGATATGAGAAAAATGAATAAGGATTGGATGGAACTAGAAAAGAAGGTCCAGGACAGAGTGGGTTGGAGAATGCTGGTCGGCGGCCTATGCTCCATTGGGAGTAACAGACGTAAGTAAGTAAGTAACTGATCTAAAGCAAGCCACCATTAAATACTTTGGAGCACTGGGAGGAGGTTTAAAAAATGAGACAACACATCGTTCTGCATCCATTATCATACACAAGAAGACAAAATCCGCCCTCAAAAAGTAAGCATAACATACAGACATCCAAGGAGGCATCCAAACGTATCAATGTCTAAATTTGGTCAGCTCAACAATATTGCACAAACTTCATCCATTTCTTGAGGTGGATAACTGTCTCACATCTCACGTGATTGCACTCCATGTGTCACGGTTTCTCACCACAACTACAAATATTACATATTGAAGATAGGTACTAGTGAGAACAAAGTTCTCATTAGTAAAGTTTCTTGGATCTGCAGCCGTGAATTTATGAAGATCAGGAGTTCTGTACTTGGATAAAACGGCTTCGGAATGCTTCCAGATATTTAACGATGGTCTAGCTAATATCCATTCGTGATCTCAATTATGAAAACGTCATTAGCATATGTAACTTCCATTGGTTTTCATAGTTTATTCTTGGCTACCGTCTGAAATTAACTAATCTAGGTTGATTGCCATGACATGTTCAGACTTGATGGAAGTTGGAGTCAGTGCTAAGTTATGGGTGTGCACTGGTGACAGTGAAAGTATTTATGATAGTCCAACAATTTAGTCAGCTTAGCTGAAAGATCCCTGTATATAATCAAGACGATGGCCTATGTGATATTAGGCAGTTTTCATTGCCATTGTCATTTGATATTGCTTAATCACTAATTTGGTTTCTGTAGTCGAGCATGTTATAGCTGTGAATAGGTCCACAAAATCAAGAGTTCTGTACGTCTTCGATATTTGGTGCTGACCACATTAGCTGAGGGCACTCATTCACGCATCCGCACTAGATCACGATTGGGTACTCTGTGGTATGTGTGGTATGTTTGTATCTAAACCACATCTGTTCAAAAGACAGATATAGTGGAGGCTGGCTATTACTTTTGGTCTCAAGGTGGGGCTCGCAAATAATGAAGCAGTGGGGACTGTTTGCCAAAATCAGTAGCGCTAGTCGGGCATATAATTGGTCAGTTCGGGGGCACTAGGATATTGAGGTAATAGCAGACACTAGACCAAATTGGGATTAGGATTCTGATTGGTGGCTTAACACATGGCATTACTCAGAGGGCCACATGAAATAACAAAATTGAAGCAATGAGTGAGTCTTCATATGTTAAAAATATTTTCAAAAGTAGAATGACCAAAACAGAAAACGGACATACCTACTATCCAAAATTTCTGCTAACCTTTCCATACTGCAGTTAACCAAATCGTATAAAGAAGAGATATGACTCATTATGCGCCGATAATTTTTCCATGATACACCTGGTAATTTTAATAGCATGTCAACAGCCTCAACATTATGATCCTCTAAATGGTCGCCATCCTGAAAGAGTAAAGCATTGATGCGAACAGAGAAATAAGAAGTCATGACAAAAAACAAGCTATCTTTGAGTACGTTACTTTATGAACCGATTGATATTAGACCGCCATTGAAAACCTGGAAGCACTGGATGGCCGTTTCGTTCTATTGCGGGATGCCTCGGGAGTGTGCATCCACGATCCCGCTCGCAGGGGTCGAACCCAGGGCCTTCGGTCTCGCACGCGGACGCTTGACATCTAGACCACTGAGCCGGCATCTAACGGCTCTAGTTCCAGTGATAGGTCGTGACCAGTGGAGCTAATCCGAGTCGGGTAGAGACAGGTATCTACCTCAGTACAGTGGAAGTTGGTGGCGCAATTTCGTGGATTGGTTGGGGTTAGACACTAACACTGTTGGATGCCGGCTCAACGGTCTAGATGTCAAGCGTTCGCGCGCGAGGCCGAAGGCCCTGGGTTCGAACCCGTGAGCGGGATCGTGGATGCGCACTGCTGAGGCATCCCACAATAGAACGAAACGGCCGTCCAGTGCTTCCAGGTTTTCAATAGTGGTCTAACATCAATGGTTTCACGATCTCCATCGAAAACTGAACTGACGTTATTTTACGTCATTCAAAGCTTGTAAAACATCAACATTCAGTTTTATCTCTAGTTTATTCCACAGACCATAAGCTTTCATTTGATTTATGATTCACTGTCATAGCCTTTTCTGTTCCAAAGCTATTGTAATTTAAACTTAATCTTCGGACGTAATCGTATTTTTCTAAATGTTTGTGGTCATGTTAGTCATTTATTTATTCATGTATCTTTTTGCACTAACGTAAATCGGAATCAGCAATAAATCGACTAGTGTTCCAGTTGACTCGTCTTCTCGCCTGTGCGCACTTGTCAACCAATCAGGTGATAGAATATTTTTCGTCTCTCTACCTAAGGCTGTTAGTTTCACTTAGAACTCACGCGATTCTAGCCTCAAAGTTGAGCCAGTCAGCTTATCGTGTCAAAGCCTTAATCTAGATTTAAACAAGTTGTCTCCTGTATATTAGTGGGTAAACTGATCAAGGAGGTAACATAGATGCGATAAAAGCTTACTAGACACTAATAATCGCTACAAAAAACAATGTTTATCGTTATGGGTCTAAATTTTCGAAGTACGTCATAAGTATCAGTAACTCTGGAAAAAAGCTCGTACCTGAGGAAGTTTTTCAACACTTGGTTCTGGTCGACCAAGTTTGATCTCTGCAAACAATTCTGCAGTACAATAGGGAGTCATGCTCCAAAATATTCGTAGATTAGGAAAGTGAATAGTGAGCAAAACAAGTTTAGATAGAAGATGATGGGAATTGAACTCTGAACTAGGGTTAATTGCATGTCGCCCAGTGTACAAGGTAAAACCAACTGCTTCACTTCCATGAAATCCTCTTGTACTCCCATGATTTAAACTAGGAACTAGGTTAGAACGGAAAAGGAATGTAAAACGTGATTGGTTGTTGATAAAAATATAAGAATAATATAGGTTCAACCAAGTACTTACAGGGAACAGATTGTAAGTTGCATATTTTTATGACGCTTAACGACACAAACGAGTTCGTCACCTCGAAGTAAGTGGTGAATCTGAATTTCTCAGACTAAACAATTTGAAATTATCATAATACATAGTAGTATCTAAGACGCATTGTGGTTTATTATAATATACATCCAGGTTACCGATTGCAAACACGATTCATGTACAGAATTTGGATAGTTCTTACCAGATGCTATACAATTCAAATATATTCAAAAACGTATACAGGAATAACTAGGAGTTAAAATGCTCAGTTTTAGGCGCATGTTTAGAAATAGAAAAACATTTTTATTAATGAAATTGCCAAACATTGGAAAGATCTAGAATATCGAATAGACAGCTCTCAATTACTCAGAATAATATCTAACTGTAAAACACTGATTCTGTCCATGTTTTCAGAAGTGGAGTTGGAGCTCCCGACTAAACTTTAGTCTAAGTAACCAGGTGATACAGCAGGTTCTCATATACTAAGCTTAATACAAGATCTAGTCAGTAAACACGTACTCAGTTATTCTGCTGCATTATTAAAATAGTTATGAACAAATAATGATTACCTTTATTATGTATAGAAAATTCAATTAGGAGAACTGGACTTGCATAATGACGTGACATTGCAGTAGCTTGATGATATAGTCGTCCAGAGTTAAGAGAACCAATGAGATCACTAACAGATTTTCTTTCAACACATAAATGCGGAGCCAGAATATAATCTGCAATACTTAAAGTCATTGGTTCTACCTATATATATATATATATATATATATATATATATATAAAATTAATTTATTTCATTCAAAAAGAACAAATTATGTATGAACAGAAATCACAGTAAAATCAATCAACATGAGTGTCGAGACTGATACTTTATGATAGTTGTACTTTAATAGCGAACAATCATCTCATAGAAAACGTCCCTTGAAAATAAACAATTCGACTGCATTTGGAATCAAATCTTTTAAAACTAAAAAATTCCGTAACAGGATAATAATGTCCCTGTTATTTATTTATTTATTTTAACACATATGTATTGGTACAAGGGGGCGCTAAATACATATGCGCCACACGAATCTCAATTGATTTGTGTGAGGGCTGTGATACTGCTCGGGTGCCCAAACCGAACCAGGTGGTTTTCTTAGGGAGCCACACCCCGAGCCATCGACCTGAAGATCTGATCCACAAGGCAGTGGAGCATCGTGAGGAGATGCAGTCCCATGGTAGCCGGTGACCAACGACTGGTTCATACGCCATTTGTTCCTTCAGGATACTGGAGCCCATGTGCACCATTGATTTGGGATCCGGTTATAGCGCCGGACATTCGCTTTTCGTCCTCTCATTTTCGTATACAACACCCCCGCCACGAGAAGGCAGTGAGTAGGGCTTCCCTGGCAGGGGTTGTATACGCGTGGCCATGTGAGAGCATTTCGAGAGGAGGAGCGGACTCCCCCCACTCTCGGCCATACCAGGGCATTTGGGGGCTATATGCACGTGGCCATGTGAGAGCATTTCGAGAGGGAGAGCGAACTCTCCCCACTCTCGGCCGTACCAGGGCATTTGGGGGCAATGTCCCTGTTAACAGCAAAGATTATGAGAAAATCATAAGGCACTTTCAAAATTGTTTTTAACGACTGGTTACAAGTTTAACGAAAGCTCAATTCTTATATATTATAAAACACACCACAAAGTTTGTCGATAAAACAATTTTCTGAGTCCATGTAATTTAAGTATTTTTGATGTCTCCTTACTTTTCATAGATAATAGGCTCATTCGGAAAAATCCATACAAAGAATTCTTCCATATCTTATAAATTTGGTACTTAGAGGTTATGTGTATATCGTTATCATTTTATCTTATATGATCTTCAACGGTGACTGAAAAATTATACGAAACTGATCATATATAACGGAGTGAAACTGTTAACTCATTTTAAATACTTCTTGAGTTTTTGATTTTATTAATGAATAGCCAGTTTCTTCGTCAATCAAATTCTAAAACTTTCAGTGAATATTTCATACTGATTTACATATATAAACCCGTTCTACGTCAATCAGAAGTTAACAACTCTGAATTCGTAAATATTTAGCTGTAAGCTTACATATAAACACCTTTGATTTCTGAATACTCAAATATTCAGTGATGACGATTTGCTAATGTGATCTACTAAGAACCTCAGCTAGTGATGGTGACTTTTATAACACTAGAACATTTGCTATCACAGACACTAACTTAGTAAGCAACACTAGTTAATCACCCAAATGCTGAGCTGTAAGTATTTTTCACCAATTTACATCCTGTTTAAGTAAAAGAACTATCTAATACTATTAACAGAACGTACAAATAAAGTGTGAAAGGTAGATTTCTTACTTTTAATCCTTTTCTGTGTAAAAGTGCTGGTAGCTCACTACGAAATTCACGCATATCTACAATTACACGAGACACTGCTTGATTATCATCTAGGTTTAATTTTCCATATGGTATCGTTGTATCTTTTGGTATAACAATAGTGCTACTTAGCTGAATAAGAGATTCAAATGCTTCTTTTTCCTTTGGAAGAGAAAACAGATTATACATACAGTTTATTCTCCTGTTGTTCAATAAATCAGGTAACAATTTTGATGCACATAAAAGAGGTCTGAAATAAGCTATTAATGACTAAAGGCAGTCGACATTTCAATACGTACTTTTCGGCTAGAGGGATACTTGCTATGAAAGACATTAAGGAAAATTATTTCGGATGTGTTAGAAAAACTAGTTAATTTACTAGTGATCTTGTCCTTTTTTGCACTGATCTACTTTACCATAATATTTTCTTATCTATAACACTTACATAACCATTTGTGACTGTTAATTATTTTTGTCGAGGTATTACAATATTTGTAACGAAGACATCCCCACTAGTTACCGTGAACAGTAAATCAAAGTTCTCTTAGTTTGAGGCTTCCGACCACATTCATGTTCAACGTTATTTCTCAGGTCACCCACACATTTGTTATACAAAAGGAACAAAGTAGGAAATCTTAAATTTACGTGTTAATCTCGCTTCACAACTAGTTATGCTACATAGTCGAGTCTGTAAAAAAGAATTGTTTGGTATTACATGTTTTTACCTAAAATGAAACCACACTGGATATTTACAAAGTTCACTCTGAAGAGTAATTACTGATATTTTGCACAACTAAGTTATAAAAATGATGTCTGAGAAAAATAAATAAGCTGAAAATCAACGTACTTTACGTAAACTTGTTAAATATCGTTGTTCTTCAACGGAATCTTCATATAGTACAAAATATATTTTTAATGAAGGTAAAGAATTATTAAGCTCTCTGATGTTACTTGAAGAGTCACTTTTTGACAAATGTTGAATTAGAAGACGTGCATTGTACACTTCTAATTCTCTGACCCATGATACTTTAGGTTCGTATAATATCACATAACTAGGTTGAAGTACATCTAAAATATATGGTAATCGATAACCATATTGTTGTACAAATAAATTGGACTCATCTTGGTAATCTTTTGCTGACCCATAAAACTGACTATTTTCATCACCTGAAAAGGTTGGTGCTACACGTATAATAATTTTAAGTGAATTAGACATCTTTGTATTGGATGAAATTAATAAACTAGGATGAATGCTAACTTCATGACATCCTAAAGGCAAACGATTATTATTGTTAGTGATTCGTTCAGTATTATCCATTTTACAATTTTCCTCTGATGAGGATGAACTGTCATCATTATCTTCACATAATTCATCAAATTTATATTTTTTGCAAATTTGTGTTAGAGTAGTTACGGATGATTCTCCAGAAGATTTCGGATTCATTAATTTGGGAGACTATTTTTCGTTTTTTTTACAAGGAAAACAAAAAGAGAAATTTAGCGCACAAGAAAATCAGAATGATAATTTGGAGGGAAATAAAACTACCAAGAAACAAAATACTAATACTTGTGTATATTAGCTAAATAAATCTATATTTCGCTGAAATTATGAACCGATCAATGATGGTCCACCATGATTTCAGCGGAGCTCAACAATCTCCACAATTCTATATTGAAAATTAACATTTGATCGGGAATTCACCAATTCAAGCCCGAACTCTGAATGCAAAAACGATGCGTTTAACTTCTCATACTTCCTTGGCCCTAATTCTCTTCTGCAGTATGTTTTGGTCTTGTTTTGTTTTTATTATTGCTTTGTAATTTCAAATCGTAATCAGTTATTATCATCCTTTAACAATTTTTTCATGATTATTGTTCGATTGTTATTATGACCTTTATGTTTTTCATTCTTCTTCATATCTGTCAAATGGACAATTATCGTTCATAATTCTGACCCGTAAGTTATGTTCATTCTCCTATTTTTCTCTAACCCACTGATTATTATGCAACCTCACCTGATACTTGGGATCTCGAATCACTTTATAATGGGACATTTTCTATCTTTCTACAGACATATTCACCGAACAACTACAAATGTACGGTTTAAGTAACTGATTTCGTCGAACTATCGCTGGTTTTCCTTTGTTTTTATTCAACAACGAAATCATTTAACTGAGATGCAAACGTCAATTTTACATATATATAATTTTATTACATACTGTATACATTACCTTCTGTACTATTTTATGTGTCTGTAATTCAGGTAGATCTGAATTTTGAACAAGAAACTTCTTAATAGATTGTATTCCACGTTGTAAATAGCGTTCAAGATACCTTGATGTATTTTCACGACTGACAAGGATTAATATGGTATTATTTAATGTTTGATCAGTTGTGTTGGTATAGATTTCTTTTAGTAGTTCAACAAGTGCTTTCCATTTTGGACTAATCTCAACATTTAATAATTCTATAAAAGTATAAGTCGAAAAAAAATCACAAAACAATAAAACCTATGATAATTTTTGTTGAGAAAAAAACAAGTGATTATTTTACTTTGAGTGAACTACGAATTAATAGTTGTTGAAAATTTAACGGGAAACTAGAGCTTTTTGGTTGAAATATCACAGCCGTTAAAATAATTTAAAATCAACTAACTGTGATATCAACAACTACTATCAGTTTAAGATACTTAGATGACAATTACTTATGGAGAAAACTAGAAATTTGAAAACAAACAGGGAGATTACAGAAAACCGCGTTTTAGAAATATCAACAAGATATTAACCCTTTTATCCTATAGGTTTTCTGGATCGAATCGAATGGTAACACTTCATTTTAATATATTTCAAGGTTTAATCACATTTAAATCGTGTTATATTGCTGAAGCGAATGTGCGCTTATATGGTCTGGACTGTGTAAGTAAGTTGGGACTATATTTGCAGTTATTAGATAAGATATACCTTCAAGTACAAAGGACTTTAATGGTAGACTTACCAAATCAAATTATAGATTTTCCTGAAGTATTTAAAAATGACTTGTGCTAATGAACAAGAATCCAAACTACTTTACGGTACATGTGTTTCAGCTATTACCTTATCTGCTACTTCCTGTAGCTAATCAAAATACTAAACTCACATAATCTGCTTGGATGCGGTAGCAAAAAAGTAATTATTTCTATTTGTTTATTTAAAACACATAAATACTAGTACAAATGGGTACCAAAATGAATGAGACCCATATAGATAAGAAAATGAAATTATCGTCAGTGTCCGAAAACACTGGAGAACCTTCGAGAACTAATTCGGTATAGGCCAAGTAAGTTTACCTTCACATCAATAATATGACATAATTTAGAGATGGTTTCCGATTGATATGTAGCATCACAATTTAGTAATACCTTGAGGTGTAATACCCCATTGCACTTTCATAACCTGACGCGTTTCGTGGAATGTTGCTCAGCTTACGTATTTTCACAGTTCGATCGACACGATCATGATGTATGTAATGTCTATTTGATAGTGAGTAATATATCCACCAGTTGCTAGCAGTAAATTTACACCCCTAGCGGATTCTTGAATTAATGACAGGTTTGGATTGGGGGGAGGAGTCCTTCGCCTCACAGTAAATTTGGTGATGTTGCAACGTTATTCAAAGTAGTCATTTCTGTGTCCGACTTCGCTGCATTATTGATTGCAATGTTGTTTTTGGAATAACAAAAGTGGTCAAAATGCTATCCACTGCAATGATGACATGTTAATGGAGGCTGTTTTTTGTTGTTGGTTCGGGAGGGCTGACTAGGTGAATAATTTGAAGCTGAAACTATATATACTGAACTGAGCTTTCCTGGGTGCTGAAAGATTTCCTCGTCATTTTTAAAGTTTTTAAGTCGTTGACATACTTCAGTAACCGTGCAGTGTTATCTGAGAGTCTTGCTCAATCTTACTCAATATGTATGTTAATATCCACATCTTTAGGGTATTAGAGTTCACGGATAAAATTGGGCACTTGGATCGGTCACCCATAAAAGATAGTAATTTAGGCACTCACTTTATAGATTAGCAATGCCTGCATACGGCAACGAAGTCATTAGTTTTTCGCTCTGTATTTTATGGATTGATACCATGTCTTAAATAGTGAACACTGCTCTCAAACATTTGGAATAATGTCTTTGAAATTACGACCATACAGTTGATATGGTAATATGAAATATGAGTACCTTCCTGTTAATTGATACCCAGTTTGCATAGAAATAGCGACGATTTTTGTGTGGCACCTTGGAGAGCAAACTCAAAGTAAAACAAATTTCCATAATGCTTGGATCAAGAATCAAAAACAACATTAGCAGTAAGATCAAAGTAAACCTTCGTTATATTACAGAGAATTCATCTATCTGATGATGAGTTTCAGGATGCAGTAGGAAGGATTTAATGTTGTTGTACGTAATTACTCCTTTACAGCTTCATTAGTTTCATGTACTATTAAAAAAACAACTTCATATCTAGATAAGTTGTCACTGCGTCATAAATACCTATCGCGGATGCTATGACTCGGTTACTAGCTACGTGGATCGAAATATCAACATAGTAATGAACCCTAACTAAATACCTCTTGAAGTACACTTCAACTAAACTGGTACTAAGCCTCCGAATGACTCTTGATCAAGTTCCAAACTATTTAGAGCATGAAAGAAAAACAAAAGGTTTGTTCACCTTCAACCGATGATGACGGGAAAATTCGTTGAGATTAATAAAATTTTTTAACTCCGCCTGGAGTCCCTTTAAGGGGGGCTATAGCCCGTCCATAAACCGGATGAAGGACGAGGGTTGGGCATGGGATTAGCGACCCCATCCCGTAGAAAACTAACCCGCTAAAAAACGCTAACCAGAAAAAAATATTCAAATCATCCAAAAATGTTGGAGTATTCAGAAAATGCCCCAGAAATTATCTAGTGCTATTCCTGAATGAGAAATAGTGTCATTGCCCCATTGGTCAACATTCTTATAACGTGTCATTTCTCTATTGGTCAATATTGATTTGGGTCATTTCTGATGCATCAAAAGATAATCAAGAACCTGGTGCAGTTTTGTTGAATGTTGATTATCATAGTGATCCATTATCTACTAAAGATTCGAACTCCGATGACTTCGAACAAAATGGTGTTTATCCTCACTATCTGGTCTGTCTTACTGGATCCCCTGTTCAAAATGTTTTAAATACAGTCAAGCTAATTGTAATTTGGGTATATGATGACCCAACATTATTCCGTGGGGGAGGATGAACCCGGGAAACTTATATTACGGATATCAGGTCCGGATCTTCAAAGAAGGGAAGGTGTTGGGGTATTCAGAAAATGCCCCAGAAATTATCTAGTGCTATTCCTGAATGAGAAATAGTGTCATTGCCCCATTGGTCAACATTCTTCCAACGTGTCATTTCTCTATTGGTCAATATTTATTTGTGTCATTTCCTGAAGGTTAAATCTTGTACAAATGTTACTTTCTATTTTATGGTACGATGTAGTCTGTTTGATTGCTATATAAACAGAGTATATTTGGAATATAATGATTCATATCTCCGAGGCTGAGACTTGTGTCCTGGACTCAATTGGCTGGGCTAGACAGGGAAGCAGGACCAATCAGAGCTCTAGGCTGCTCGCTCGTATTTTATGCGTCACTGTTTCGATCGATAATAGGCAGCTATCTAATAGGCGGATCACACGTTATAAAAATTGGCGACGGGGTAGAAAAAAATTTCTGAACCCTCAATCTTCAACGTTAACCTGTAATTGGACGAGATTCAGTCTAATTATTTCGAGCAATCAGCATTCAGTTTTGTCATCGGCGTCCTTGAAAGACATTGGTTGTTAATTAATCATACGGCATTTCTCATTACCGTGCTGATTCAGAAAATGGCTATCTCTCCCGATCAATTACAGTTACTATTCGAGCGACAGCAGTAGCGTTTCAGAAATAGCCAGTTGAATGTTCTAGACAATTTACGCTCACGGCTGCTAAATCATCCATGTTTTGGAGATGTAACAGAAGTTGATAAATTAATTTCTAATTTGCATACGGAGCTGCAAATTGAATGCAGTACATATGAATGTGTTGATAAAAGCCTCTATGAATCCTTAATGAGCACTAATGTAAGTGAAGCAGTCATCCATGATCCGCCCAGTGATCCAGAAATGTCCATTCCAGAGACATGCCCTGTCGTGGGTTCAAATCCCACTGCCCCTGAAGCGCCATGTACAAACAGCTCACAGGAAATCGACGTCTTATTCAATGCTAATGGGATTACTGCAGTAGCCGCCCACGAACAAACAGAAAATAAATCAACCAGCATAATTAAGACAAATGCAGCTCATCATTCTACGACAAAAGCATCTGACCAATCTACTTATCGCGGTTCTCTAGTTGTTCTATCAGGTATGAGTTATCTAAATGATTCACATGCCTTCGATCCGATTTCTTATAAAAATGAGAAAAATTTTTCTGATGCATCAAAAGATAATCAAGAACCTGGTGCAGTTTTGTTGAATGTTGATTATCATAGTGATCCATTATCTACTAAAGATTCGAACTCCGATGACTTCGAACAAAATGGTGTTTATCCTCACTATCTGGTCTGTCTTACTGGATCCCCTGTTCAAAATGTTTTAAATACAGTCAAGCTAATTGTAATTTGGGTATATGATGACCCAACATTATTCCGTGGGGGAGGATGAACCCGGGAAACTTATATTACGGATATCAGGTCCGGATCTTCAAAGAAGGGAAGGTGTTGGGGTATTCAGAAAATGCCCCAGAAATTATCTAGTGCTATTCCTGAATGAGAAATAGTGTCATTGCCCCATTGGTCAACATTCTTCCAACGTGTCATTTCTCTATTGGTCAATATTTATTTGTGTCATTTCCTGAAGGTTAAATCTTGTACAAATGTTACTTTCTATTTTATGGTACGATGTAGTCTGTTTGATTGCTATATAAACAGAGTATATTTGGAATATAATGATTCATATCTCCGAGGCTGAGACTTGTGTCCTGGACTCAATTGGCTGGGCTAGACAGGGAAGCAGGACCAATCAGAGCTCTAGGCTGCTCGCTCGTATTTTATGCGTCACTGTTTCGATCGATAATAGGCAGCTATCTAATAGACGGATCACACGTTATAAAAAAAGCAAAGAAAACGGGGATTACAATGAACGTCATCCAATGCTACGCGCCTACCAACGACTACAATGAAGACGCTAAAGATCAATTCTACGATAGGCTGCAGTCAATCGTCGAGAAGTGCCCAACAAAAGACCTGACTATTTTGATGGGAGACCTAAATGCCAAGGTTGGAATTGACAACACCAGATATGAAGAGATCATGGGACGACACGGACTGGGAGAAAGGAACGAAAATGGTGAGAGATTTGCAAACCTATGTGCCTTCAATAAACTGGTCATAGGCGGCACTATATTCCCACATAAACGCATACACAAAACCACATGGGCTTCACCGGATCACACCACACAGAACCAAATCGACCA